AGGTAAATGTAGATAAACATATGCCGTCTAATTAGACAGGAATTATCTTGTGCAGTTGAAACAGTGTCGTTATTTAGTCCTAAATAACTCGGAGCTTCAGGTGGAAGCAATATCATTCCTTTGTTCTTGTTTTCCTTTTGAGCTTTTTTTTTTTTTTGCCCCCTTCACACGCTACTTTCCCGCCGAACATACGAATATACCCGAAGTGAACAGCTGGGAAATTGGAGGAAGCCGAAGGTTATCTTCTTCCCGCTTGGCTATCGGTCCCGCCCCCAGAATTCATCCCACTAGATGCAGAGAGTCCGCGGGATGCCTGCGTGCCTGTGCCGAGAGGCGAGGTCCACGTCAACCACGCCCGGTACAGCACATGGGTTCCAGCCTCGAGCACGCTCTCACGAACCTCATGAGCACTTCGGTACGAGAAGTTATCGATTGAATGTGACGCAACAGACTGGATTTGTGACGAGGTACTTGTACCTCGGCTGGGGTGCCTCATGTCTCTTATTAAGCTTCATGTTTGGGGAATATACTAGGGCAATACCTCAGACCTCTTCCTTTGACATTCGTCGTAACACAGTAGTCATTTGAGACACTCTTTTTGTTTATTTATTTTAAGGTTGAGTTGACTACCGTTGTAGTCCATAAGTCCATTATCATTTATCGTCAATTACAACATATTTAGGTTGAATGTTTACCCGATATGTTTCGACAAGTACAGTGTCATTTTCAGAGGTGTTCTTATGCTACAAACTAAACATTAACTCAAGGTTATTGTCTCATCTTATGTATCTGATTTGTATTTAAAAAAATCATGGACATCTTTAGCGTTCAGTCAGCACGCCAGAAGCAGTTTATGCTCCGATATTATCGTTGCATCGCATACGGCAAGCGAGGTATTACGTGATGAAACGTATGATAGTGTTTTACATATGCATGACAAGTTATGTACAACTCTTAAAACATAGAAGGTTAAAACACGTACAACCACATTTTTAGTGTATAATGTAATTATTTATAAGGAGATTCTCTCCAAAAAGAAATTTGTAAGCACCTGAAATGCTGAGCTAATGTCTAGTTTGTAGCATAAAAACATACCCCTGAAGATGACACTGTAGATGTCGAAACATGTCAGGTGAATAGCCAATGTAAATATGTTGTAATTGGCGTGTGATAATACATAACGTTACACTCGTTTTAAGCTACATAACTACTGCAATTGACATAGTATTGTTAAAGAACTTAAAACACAAATAAAAGTTTTTACTTAAGTGGGAAGTCGCTTTCCAAATAATGGATACTTACATGTATCTTTAACATTTGTTAATACTGATACTCGTGATAGAATATAAAGATTGAGAGGTGAAGTACTGGTAATGTTAGTCCTGCATTTGCACGCAATGTACATGTTCGTGTTGAAGTGTATAAAGTTCCAGGAAGTACGATTCCACGATTGTACACAAAGCAGGGCCGTAATTTTGACGCGCTGGTGCTTTACGCTGCGGCATGTTCGAAGACTCCGTAATAAATACAGTAATTACAGTTTTGTAAATAGAAGGAATATTGCCCTTATCTTGTGTATTATCACTGGCTGAGCTGCAGCGAGAAACTGATGTCAAAACTGACGGTACTGACACTACAAGACACGTCACTAGATGCAGTACTTGAATTCTGTACTTTATTTTACTGTAAAAGTAAAGTTGTTCCTGTACTTAACTAATTAAGCATTACGCCATGAAGGCGTATGGGGCAGTGGATGTATAGATCCAAATTTTCTTCATCTCCGCACTAGTTGGAGGTGAGTGGTCAGCTTCACGCTCCGGCAGTTTTACCAACGGGGAAAGAGCCCCCGCTACCCATCTGATATTTTTCTTACTGTAAAACGTAAAGTTGTACCTGTACTTAACTAATTAAGCACTACTCCATGGAGGCGTATGGGGGGTGGATGTATAGATTCACATTTTCTTGTCCACGGCACTAGCTGGAGGTGAGTGGCCAGCTTCACGCCCCAGCCGCTTTACACCCGGGGAAAGAGCCCCCGGTACCCACTGCATAGGAGATTGGGTTGACCTCAGAGCCGATCTGGACGATTTAGAGAAGAGAAACTTCTTTAGCCTACGGGGACTCGAACTCCGACCCATCGGTCGTCCAGCTCGTAGCCGGTCGCTATACCGACTGCGCTGTCAACTCCAGTAATTAAGGGCTTCAAATAATAGCCAGCAATATAACTAATAATAACCAATAATGCTGCTTATTTAATGAAACGCCCGTAGGTTTACTAATCTTATGAGATTTCTTAATAATGAATTCTGCGAGAACCCCAAATCCTACACAGTAGGCCTACTGCTAGAATTATATCTGATTTTATTTTACCACAACGCGAATAATTAATGGTTGAAAGTAATAGAATTTAAATTGAACCGTTAAGAATGCAACGGCAAGTTCCATCATTTGTTATATAAACTTTCGTACAATTTACTCTCCGTGCCTTCCACTCATATTCTTTTCCAGTCTTACATGTTATCGAACGATGCGTTGAAGCCGACGTTAATGTCATCTTCCAAGTATAACACGCACAAATAGTCAATTGTAACCGCCCCCTTTACATAGTGTAGGCACATTTCACATATGCATATCAAAATATTTTCAGTACTCACGTAACAGACACGATACATATTTACTCATGGAGCTGAGCCCTTCTTGAGGAGCTGCCAATTATGCAGCTACTCAAGAATTTCCCAGAATTTTATGGAACCCGAAGTTTCATTACCGTGTTCGCAAGAGCCCTCCACTGGTCCCTATCTTGAGCCACATCAATCCAGTCCATACCATTCCATCCTATCTCTCCAAGATCCATTTTAATTTTATCCACCCACCTACATATTTGTCTTCCTAGTGGTCTCTTCCCTTCTGACTTTCCCACCAATATCCCATTGCATTCCTCTTCTCTCCATTCATGCTACATGCCCTGTCCATCTCATCCTCCTTCACTTGATCATTCTAATTATACTTGGAGAAGTGTACAAGTTATGAAGCTCCTCATTATGCAGTTTCCTCCAACCTTCCATCACTTCATCTCTCTTCAGTCCAAATATTCTGAACACCTTGTTCTCAAACACCCTCAGTCTATGTTCCTCCCTTAATGTCAGAGGCCAAGTTTCACACCCATACAGAACCATAAGCAAAATTATAATTTGCATATTCTAATTTTTATGTTTTTAGACACAAGACGAGAAAACAAAAGGTTCTGAGCTGGTAGCAAGCATTACCCGAATTCAACCTCCTCTTAATTTCCTCCTGAACCAGGTTTTGATTTGTTATCGTCGTTTCATAATATCTTAACTGTGCCACATTTTCAAAACTTCTGTTACCTATTTTCATGTAATGATTTTGCCCTGCATTTTGGTGACGAGACAGCAACATATACTTAGTTTTCTCTGTGTATACTTCTCCTTACTAGGATCAATTAAAATTTGTATGCTTTTCTTTATGGTATCACCACCCAGTGGGGGTACGCGGTAACGTAGTTGGTTGAGGCACTATGCTACAAGCCGGAAGGTCGCGGGATTGAATCTCGATGAGGTGGATTTTTCCAATTTACCTAATCTTTCCAGCCCAATATGGCCCTGGGGTCGACTCAGGCACTAACAGAAATGAGTATCAGGAATATTCTTGGGGGTAAAGGGCGGCCGGCGCATAAGGCTGACAACCTTGCTGCCATCTGTGAGCCAATTATCTGGAAAATGTGGAAACCTCAATATGTCACAACCCTATAGGCCTCCACGGCCTGCTACAGGGATACCTTTACTTTTTACTTATCACTACCCAATAGATTCACATCATCAGCAAAGACCAGCAGCGCAATAAGTAGAGTATATACACGTATGGTAAATGTATAGGGATTTTGTTTGTATTTTTTAGGGCCAGCATAGTGTGATGCCCTAATCTGTAAATCCAGAATTGATACTATGTTTTAAAAATGCAGAGTTCCAAGATATTATTTCTGTTGCTCTCTTTTAGTTGGAACTCCTTAAAGCTGAACACACACAATACAAAATAGCCTTCCTTATAGCACTATTGAATGCATGACCTTTAAGAGTTCCTCAATAGCTCACAATTTCTCGGTTACAATTCAAAACGTCAATCACGTAGCAAGGTTAGGGTTTCTTTTGATGTCAGCAAGAACAGAGGCATGTAAGAAAGCTCTTCAAGGACAGTCAGTTCATTAATACGGTTGTAACCAGACTGAAGATACAGTTATAATAGTTGGACAGCGGAACTTGATATTATACAGCGCCAATTCGCTCTCACAGAGTGCATATTAAATCTTGTTAGCAATTTTTTAAAATTGTAAATTCCATGTTTTCACAGCTTCGTACCTTTTGGGATGGAGTGTAGTACTTCCACGCAACGTAATGGAAAGGTCATAAAGGAATCAGCTGATGTTTTATTTTTAGCAACCCAAACAGATTTCCCCTTCCTTAATGTAGTCGCCTCCTTGCACAGCAGGCCACGCAGAGGGGCGGTTTTCGTGATTTTGTGCTGGCCGTAGGGGCGCTAGGTCCCATCCCTGTCCAGCCCCTTGATCATATCTTACGTCCCCTCCCTCGGGCCATGGGGAGTTCGACCCTTTCCCTTTGTCATAAACAGGCGGTTGGCGTCGCGCAAAGGAGGTGGGAGGAGGCAACGAGTCGGTTCCATCAGCCCTAACAAATTTACTCGGCTCAGGGTAGGGCATTGTAAGCAACTGCCAATCAGCTATTTCCGTGGAACCCAGCGGGCCGCACCGCCATACCGCATCACTGATGTACGCTTCCGATGTTGACGCCCCAAATAGTTCCTTCGATATAGAACTCTATTAGCGAACTCATATAACTAGAACATTTATCAGAAAAAGATTTGAAGTTAAAGGACATTGAAGATAAGATTATATTTCTTGTATTCGCATGAAACAGCTTAAATGTATATTCCATGTTATTGATCCGCGTATGAATACATGAGATGAAAATATTTCTGGTCATTTGTCGTCAGTACGTGTCCGCCATGAGCTGAGGGCTTATTATATGTGTGTGGGCCGGGGGAAACAATAATTTTTCTGTTTGTGAAGACAGCAAATAATGTCCTCTGCAGCCACCAAGATCAAGACGGAATACATCTTGCCTAACACCACATCTCAGGTAAGGTGACCAAGCGTCTGTGTGCATGTTCGTGTGTGTGTGGTCCATTTGGGGCGGGGTGGGAAAGTGGGAGTTCCTTGTGTGCTTCTCCGCAAAACGCAAGGCGCGCGCGTAACGACTTTGTTCCAGGGCTACCCAAAGCCTTGCTTGTTGGTTCATACGCACCTGCTGACATCCCATTTTGTTCGTGGCTCCGCCTCATTTAGGAGATTCAGCCGTCCCCCCTTGCTCTTCTCGCTGCAACGTGCAGCAAGATCGGTACATCTTCGTCTCACGAACAGCAACCCCAAGAAGGAGGTGTTCCTCACCAGCTAGCCTTGCAGCAACAGGCATCTCAAATAAGAGTTTTGAACGCAGCCGTTCTCCAGCAGCTGCAAGCACAGCAGCAAGCCGAGGGCGGTGCTACAATCGTGGCGGGTAATCAAGCTCAAGTCACGAGAGATACTCTTGGCATCCCCAGCCCAGCAACGGTGCAGCAGCCACATCAACCCCAAGTCATCACGCTGTCACAATTACAGAACTTCCTACCCATCCACCATCAATCGGGTCAGCATCACGTGACAACCGTGGCGTCGACAGAAAGCACGCAACACAATCAGCAGGCGACACAGGGAGCACCTGGGGTGAAGACTTTTGTGTCGTCTGCTGCTGCTGTCAACCCAACCGTTGTTTCGTTACAAGGAGTTTCTGGCCAATTTTTGCAGGTGAGTTGGGATAATTTTCAGAGACAATGTGTACGTCATTCACGTGGCGTTAGTTGTAGTCTAATACTGTTTCAAATTTCATGTGGTGGTAGTTTATTTAAAAAATGAAATAGTTTTTTTCCATGTGTAATTTTATACATAATATTTACTTTTGGAAAAGAATAGTTGACATACTATCATATATCCTGTTTCCATCACAAATTAGTTATTAAAGTATAATTAAAGTAGTAACTTCTAATAAGTAAATGGTTTTGGTATTGTCATTTTAGTGACTGAGTGAAGTTAGATTTAATGTGACATTCTGTATACTTCCAAAACAGCAGCAGGGAGCCCAATTAGTAACTGCAGGTGGGCAAAACCTGGCATACAATGTTGTCCAGCCAATGCAGACGGTGACAGTGGATGGTCAGGAGGCATTGTTTATACCAGCAATGCCAGCGGGACAACACCAGGCAGTACAACTGGCAGGTGGTCAAGCTCTCATTACACCCACAGGACAAATTATTCGGGCACCAGGTGTTTATCCGGCCAGCCTCCTGCAGAACATCGGTGGACAAACAGTACAAATGGCCAATGGTATGAATAGTGAATAGAAGCAGGGTCAGTTGTAAGTCACAGGGCCTCGTGTTTCTTGTCTGGCCAGTTTCAGTTGTGTTGGTGTTTAATCAATGAATTTTGTTAGTGGGCTTGTCCCAGTGAGGGGGAGTAAATAGAAATGGGAAATTATCAGAGAGGTCACTCTATACTGTTTGGCCGTTGCAGTTGGAGGAACACACACCACAAGCATCCACTTACACCATGCATGTTGGACTTGAGGCAAAGTCAGCAGGCCCACGGCTTATATGCGTTATAGTTTCTTTACAGTATTGTCCCCTTAAATCTTTAAGCAGCTGCCATGAAGTGAGTTTGTGTTATGAGTCTGCTGACTCTAACCCAGAACCCCAGCTACTGTAGTATGACTTGTGTTGAAACGCTGCTTATGAGTTACACATTGAAATGAGTGTTCTTGTATGATGTGTGTGTAGAAAATAAGGAGAAGATTGTGCATTAATTTGAAGTTCCAAATAGAAGAAGAAATTATTCATGAAATTGTAAATAAATTTCGATTTTATAATATTGTTCTTGTACAGAAAAGAACCAAATCAAAGTTCTGAGTGCTTGCTGAAGATAATGGATTGGATGAAATCGGTGCTAAGCTTGACCATTCTACTTGAAAATCCATTAGATGCTTTGTACAGGACACCAGGATTTTAAAGTTTCCCCGATTTTAATTGAATTCCTGTCTCTGGTCTGTATTATCAAAATTATTTCTGTATTTGAGTATCTACACTTATCACAACAATTTCTATATAAATGCACCCACAAATGCATTTTGGTCTGTAAACCAAGTGACAATGATGATGACTGACTAGTCACAATGAATTTGTGAATGAATTGTGATAATATGGCCAGTTACAAGGAATGATCTTTATAAAGTTTTAAGTTTCAGATTTGCTCTGTCAGCCAAAGAGGATTGTGAACTTTTTAATGAGGTGCGAGGAATGCATGCATAACAACAAGGACAATTTCCAGCATCAGTTCTGATCTGGGTTGCCTTAGTTTCTGACTTGTTGATTATGCTGTGGGTCTGAACATGCATAGAATGAGTTGATGCAAGAAGGTTATGTCTCGTTCACTGTACCAGCTGAACAGTTTGCATTAGGTTCTTAAATAATCTGCCACATTCCTGTTTATTTATATCTTTACAATATGGAGAGATTTTATATAAACCTCTTTTTCCCACATAATGTTACCACACAACATCAGTTTTATCAGTACTGGAGTTGGGGAGGGGGGATGTGTGCATAACAACAGCATCTGCTGTAATCTGGATACCTTTAATATGTAATTTGTTGGGCAGTAGGCTTATCAGTAGCGTTCCATACATATCCGCAGCCAGGCTAGAGAAGAGGAGCACCATGCACTAAGAAACTCAGCAATTTTCTGAAAGCTCTGTGATGATTGCACTATAGTTTATTTATAGTACTACAAATGCAGTCACAAAGAATCTCGTGGCTTGGTCACGTAGAGTGAATGCCAACTAACAGATCAGTTAAAAGCCTGTACAAGACCAGTGGGCAGACCGAAAATACGATGGGAGAAAGATGTTAAACTGACATTATGAAGACGAAGGTACCAAATTGGGATATAACAGTCCAGGTCAGGACTAAGTGGAAAGGAGTGGCTGAGAAGACCAAAACTATACATGAGTTGTAGTGTCAAAACAGAAGAAGACAACAAATGTAATATACCTAGAAATAAAACATCGATGCAGGTAGAATGCATTTTCGCCATCAGAAACTGCTTATGAGTGACTGCTTAGCACCTACACCAGGAAGAGAAATGAGAACATTTATAGAAAAGTTTATACAAAAGATTTTTTGGCACAGATCTCTCCTGCAGTAGGATCCAGGATGTATCATTCACTAATATCTGGCATGCTGCTGAATCATTAATTTTAATTAAATGCAAATGAAATTAGGGGTATATTTTGTTTCAGGCCAAAATGTTGCAGTTCGACCAGCAAGTATGCCGCAGGTTGTTCAGTTTCCAGTGCAACAAACTATACCAGTGCAGGTTCCCATCTCAACAGCAAATGGGCAAACACTGTACCAGACCATACACTTCCCTGTCCAGGCATTCGCAACAGCGATTCCTAATATCATTCAAGCATCAGGCAGTCAAATGCAGATGATACCACAGCTGGGTCAGGTAGGTTAGAATGTGTGTGTATCAGATGTCTGTAGATAACATTTACTGGACACACTTCCAGTTCACGGCAGACTAAAATAGTGTCACACCTAATCATAACAGTGTTTTAGTTTTCTTTAAGAGGTATCTTACGAAGGAGAGTTAAGCATGATTATGTTGATGACATTTTAGCTAAAGAATTTTTTGCAAAAAAATTGTAGTGGGTAATGAGTATTGTTAAAATGGAAATATTGGCATTTGGACTTCTTTGAATATGTGATGTATCAGGCCCCATCATATTTTTGGTCTGACATTAAGCTGTATGTCCCCTCCCAACTGTCATCCTAACATGGGGTGCGAGGTGGAAATTCTTACAGAGCTCATGTCTGAAATGTGAATTCCTGTCTTTACCCCTACCAAGCAGGTAGAACTTAGGATGGACAAAGCCATGCCTGAGACAAAATCACTATAACGAAAATGTGATAAGTAAATGAGCCAGAACTGCCTGAATTGTGGCCCAATCCATGCAAGTAATAAGAATGAAAGTAAATCTCAGTTAGCTCAAAAAATTTGATGATAGCAGGTTTAAATTCTATTAGTTACTCACTCAGGAAATTTTCTGCTTTTCTGGGACTCAAAAATTAATCACTATATTCAAAAAAGCCCATCATTCATTTGGTTAATCTGTTGTATATTTAAACACCTAATCTATCCTTTATATATATTTCCCATTCCATATAAGTGCTATGTGTTTTACCCATCATATTCTCCTAAATTTAATTAATTGTGCTATGTTAGACCGAGAATGTAAATTGTGAAGTGCCATGTAGTGTAATATTCTCCATCCTTCTATTATTTCCTCTTTTGTTGGTCCAGTATTCTCCACAGCAGTTCATATTCAGACATCATCAATAAGTAAGAATTTCATAATGTAATATACTTCAATTACTCATAGGTACCAACACAGCAAGTGGCTCAGATTATCACCCCATCTGGCCAGATTCAACAGGTACAGCTGGCTTCAGTTGCTCAGCTTGGAAGCTTAGCTCAGGCACAAGCACAAGCTCAGGCTCAAGCAAATCAAAATATGATGGTGCAGGCAGCTGCAGCAGCAGCCGCAAACTCGAATGCAGTAACTTCCAGCACGTGGAGTACCACAACAGTTACCACCCCCAGTGTGACTGTACAGGTGAGAATGTTGGCTTCCTGGTTTCTCTAAAGGTTCACATCAATGACTGATTCATTACCCCACAGTTTTGTTGAACATGTAGTCAGCTGGTGTTCAGCCTGGAATGCTTTGAATAGTAAACTTCAAAATTTTCCACACTATTTCTGCTCATCTTATTCCTCACTGTATAGCCTCTTCAGCTGAAAGAGAGGCTGCTGAATTAGCCTAAGAATTAGTGAGTCTTATGAGGCACTCATTCCAGACTGTTGCAGCTCCGAGCCTTGTGAGCAGTTCAGCAGGCACAGACACAACTAACAGCCATCAGGTTACAGTTCAGAGTCAACAGCCAGCTGCAGGACAAAGTGTAATACTGGGACATTCTCAGCCCCAGCAAATAACATTAGCAGGTTCTCAAGGTCAGCAAGTAACTGTGATACCAGCCACAAGTCTTGCGAATCTTGCGCAAGCTGGGAGTGTAGCAGCCATGCGAGCAGGCAGCAACATAATTCAGGTTCCTAACTTGAGTAATATTCAGGCAATTCCCTTACAAAATATCCCTGGACTAGGTAATGTGCAATTGATACCAGCAAGTGCACTTTCTGTTGGAGCTCAGAGCCAACTAGGGTTATCACCATCTGGTGCATCTGTGCCCCAGCATGGCCCTCCGTCATCAACTATATCTGCAGTTCCAAGCCTGCCACCCGGTACACAGATCATAGCTGCTGGACAACACATTCAGCAAGATCCAAATGATCCAAACAAGTGGCAAGTCATAACAACTACAAGTCATGGTAATCCACAGATACAGCAGCCAAATATCCCCGCTAATAGTCAGGGGACAGTATCATCAGCTGTCAGTAGTGAATCAACAGTAGAGGGTGCTCCCAAAACCAGGATCCGCCGAGTGGCTTGTACGTGCCCTAACTGCAGTGACGGAGACAGGTAGGTGACCCTGCACAATTTTGTGGTACCATTTTCAAGGTATATAAGATATGTACATTTTGTTTCCCTTGAAAATGTCCCTAAAAGTTGCAATGCATCATATGCACTGGTTGCTACTTAAGAATGGGAAGTAACGATGAAAGTGAGGGAAATACGAGAACCTTGGTTAACCAGTTTGAGTTGAGGCTTCCAGATACAAGGTAATATGTTGGGGCTGGGATTATTTCTGGAAAAATCAACACCTGATGAAAAATGAAAAAATAACAATTTACTACCACCAAGATTCACCATGGATACATTAATTTTCTGCCAACTGACAGTTTGATCCATCAGCGCTTCCACAGTATTTCTAAATACCCAAACAACTGTTGTTCTCCAGTCAGTTGATGATCACCAAGGCATGTGTGGGGGTATGCAGCATGTGTAGGAGAGGCAAAAAAGGCAGGAGACCTAGACAGAGATAGGATGATCTTTATAGAAGCTGGTTATTTAACATCCGGGAATAAATAGTGTTGTGAGAACATTATTAACACTTTGCAGACCGGCGATTTAAATATTTAAATCACCCTGGGGACCGGCATTTTTACACCTACTACTCTAACTTGTGCACTGTTCACTTTAAAAATTAATATAAAATCTCCTAATTAATTTTGTGAACTAAAATTTATGGAGAACACTTACCAGTGCTCCTAGAAGTGCTTGAGAGTGCGATATTTCTGGAAACATTCCCCTTTGTGATACACACTTGCAAATGTAGACAGTCATAGTCCTTTTTTTGTGAACTGTGCAAACACGGCATTGTCTAGGATGCTGCCCATTGGAATGTTCACTCTTCACAATTTTCACGACGATATGTTTCCACATATCACCCAAGAGTCACTCAGGGGGGTCCACATGAGGCCTGCGTGGGATGGGAGTAGACGGGCCCAGTCGCACTAAGACTGTGTCTGCTGCCACCATGTGGTCTGTAGCCCAGGCTTTTGCCACATTCAGCATAAATGTCCTGTATTTCAGTTTTGAATGAGGGTTTAGATTTTTGAAAACCAAAAATGAATTGAAAATGGCACAATTTATAAGCCACAAGGCAACTTTCTTTGTCCACTTTACTGTTTTCCGAGGAAGAGAATAAGAGGCCAACTACTGATCGGCTCTATCAACTCCCTTCATGAGCATATCATACTTGGAAATATAAACAGGATTCTTTACCTGTCCATGTCTCCTTTGAACACCAACCATGCTTGAATTGTGAATTGTGGAAATCATATTCACAACATGAGTATCCCTCCAGGACTGAAGAAGAATATCCCCCTTCCTCCTGAATGTGGTTTCACCATGTTTCAGGGATTTACATTCCTCTTTCAGATCTGGAGGAAGGCCTCTGTTCACCCTAATTGTTCCACAAGCACGTACTTTTCTCGAAAGTAGGTGTTCTGCAGTTGCCACACTGTTATAATAATTGTCTTGATAGACATCGTAATTTTGATCAAGATAGGGTTCCAAAACAGAAAGAATAGTTTCTTGTAATTTCTTTCCTTCACCAGAATAAAATTCTAAATTTCCAATATAGCCTGAAGTGCTTTCAGTAACTACACGAACAAGTAGGCCATACTTTGTAAGTTTCCCAGGATTATATGTTCGCATATTGCACTACTCACTGACAGCTTGCTATGTACAGCTTGCCGAAATAAAGGCATTTATTTTCCTTTGCAGGGGCATACAGTTACAGCGAGGTCACGTAACTGATTAGTCAGCAAACATTCCAGAGGCTTATCACGCAGCTGCAGGCAGCTACGTGCAAGCTGGGTGGCGTCAGAGCGATGTATATTGTGTTGCAACTTATCATGTTCTAAAAACGTATTAATACGCGACCGGTCTGCCACGTTTAAAAGCGAAAAACGTATTAATGCGTGCTCGGTCTGCAAAGTGTTAAAATTAATTTTCAAAAATGGATGTGACATTATGGACTGGATGCTGGATAGAACGCATTGGCAGGCTCTCGTGAATGTGATATTGAACCTTTTGGTTTTATAAAGGGTGGGGAATAGCTTGACTGGATGAGTGATTATTACATTTTGGAGAACAATTGTGCTCCTTAGAATTATAGTAGTTGGCTAGAAAAATGTGTAAGAGCATAATTGTTGATATTAGTTGGAGAAGTATATGTCTAGATGTATGGTACAATATTAAGCTTAATATGTGGCAAGATACTAGAGATAATTTATATATGAGGGTTGTTCAGATGAGACCTGCTTGCAATGCTGCTGGTGATACAGCTGGTTACAGGTAAGTATGTGGCTATATGCATGACAGACCAGTCGTCAACCATGAGCTGTGCAACAGAATGGGTGTTAGACCAAACAGAAGAAGTGTGTCCTAGTAAATACTGGCATTCAAGGACCCTGACAATTTTGAGACCTTACCAGCATCATGAGAAAGTGTCCTGACATGCTCGTGAGAGGTGTCATCATGTTGTGTAGCAATGCCCATGTCCATATGGTTTAAGCTATGCAGGTTACTATGCATGTCATGTCCTGGAAGATGTCCATCTCTCATACAGCCTGGATATTTCACTCTGTGACTCCCGTATATTCAGCCCCCTCAAAATGTGCTAAACCTTGAACAAGTTTCATCTGAATAAGCATCATATATAGTAGGAGATTGTTTGTGACTATACAGTCAACTCTCGATTATCCGGGGGCGGATTAACCGGTTTGCGGCTTAACCGGGGCTTTTTTTTTTTAAGTTTATATGTTGTTTAATATTCATTCACTTTTGTTTCACATGGTGAGTTTAACACTATTTTCGCACTAGTGTGAACCGAGCTCTGCATTATTTCGTCCCGTTATGCGAACACAATGTTCTAGGGTGGGGGTGAAAGAATGCAAGAATTTTTGGAAAGTTTCAAGGACAAATACACCGCCCCAGGTTATTTAACGGTACCATCTCAGTGTGAGAGTGCATTGTGAAAGTAAGTATCAGTTTCTTAATATAGATCTTCAAGTGCGTTAGCAAAATGTCGGGGTTTAAAAGGAAGCGTGTTGTGTTAAGTATTCAACAGAAACTTGAAATTATCAATCAGCTGGAAAAAGGAGCTGTAGTTAAACAATTAGCAATGCAATACGGTATTGGAGAACAAACTGTTCGTGATTTGAAAAAACAAAAGAATGAGTTAATTTCCTTTGCTTCGTCTTCTAATTCAAGCGGAATGAAGAAGAGAAAAACCATGAAGAAATCAACATACGATGATCTCGACAAAGCGATGCTGACCTGGTTTAATCAACTAAGGGCACAGGGAACAACAATAACAGGACCAGTTTGTGCTAAACAAGCTAAATATTTTTTCGAAGCACTTGAACTAGAAGGGAGTTTTGACGCTTCTTCCGGTTGGCTAACACGTTTCAAGCAGCGTCATGGAATACGAGAAATCAGTATTCAAGGTGAGAAATTGTCAGGGGACTTGTCAGCATCAGATCAATTTTGCACCAATTTTGATAGTTTTGTGAAAAGTGAAAATCTGCTGCCAGAACAAATCTATAATGCCGATGAAACGGGTCTTTATTGGAAATGCTTGCCAACCAGAACATTGGCATTTCAAAATGAAAGACAGGCTCCAGGTCACAAATCCAGTAAGGAGAGATTGACAGTCTTGTGCTGTTCTAATGCATCAGGAACACACAAACTAATACCAGTAGTTATCGGCAAAGCGAAAAGACCACGCTCTTTTAAAGGAACAGTAGCTTCAAGTCTGCCTATCCATTATTTTAACCAGAAAGTAGCTTGGATGAATAGAGCGATATTTAAAGAATGGTTTGATTTTAAATTCGTGCCTCAAGTTCGTGACCATCTAAAATCCCAAGGCCTACCTGAGAAAGCTGTGCTCCTCATTGACAATGCGCCCTCACATCCTAACGAAAGTCTCCTGAGGTCAGATGATGGAAATATTTTTGTGAAATATTTTCCCGCTAATGTTACCGCACTTATCCAACCAATGGATCAAGGAGTTATCTCAAGTATGAAGAGAATCTACAGATCAAATTTGCTACAAAAGTACATCGATGAAGGCAATGATCTGACGTGTTTCTGGAAGTCCTTTTCAGTATTAGATGCCATATACGAGATTTCAACAGCGTGGGATACAGTAAAGCCATCTGTATTGAAAAATTCATGGAAGAAACTGATGCCTTTCATCACTAATGAAGATGACGAAATCCATGGATTCACTGGATTCAGTGAAAATGAGATAGCCATAAAATTGACAAAAGTGGCTAACCAAGTTCATGGTGGTGAAGAAGTCAACGAGGAAAATATAAGAGAGTGGTTTAACTGTGACTCGTGTGAACCGGGCTTCGAAATGTTAAGCAGTGACGAAATCGTAACTTCAATGGGGGTGCAGCCAGAAGAGCGGGAAGAAAGTGAGAATGAGGAAGAGGTGGACAGTGTTGCCAGTAAGAAAGTATCACATGGTGCTGCGCTTAATCATTTGGAATCCTTACTAGACTATCTTGAGAGTGAAGAGGACAGTTTATTAAGTGACAAGCTAATATTACGTAGGCTTCGTACGGATATCCGTAAAAAGGAAAATGCCGCGAAAAAGCAAAAGACAGTATTAAATTATTTTAAGTGTTAAGTGTGACCGTAAAAAGTGCTGGATGTTGTTGAACAGTGATTGAAATAACTAATTCATACTGAGTGTAATGTAAAGAAAGTATTAAATAGGCCATGAGATGACATAGAAATGAGGATGAATAAATTTAAATACAGGTAGGTCTATAGTATTATGAAGGTATTAAAAGGTAAAAGGTAAAGTTGTTCCTCTGCTCAACGAATTAAGCCCTACGCCATTAAGGCGTGTGGGGGAGTGGATGTATAGATCCAAATTTTCTTGACCTCGGCACTAGTTGGAGGTGAGTGGTCAGCTTCACGCCCCGGCCGCTTTACCCCCGGGGAAAGAGCCCCCGGTACCCATTGGATAGGAGGTTGGATGGACCCCAGAGCCGGTCTGGACGATTTGGAGAAGTTAAAATTCTTGACCCTACCGGGACTCGAACTCCGACCCTTCACAGTCATCCAGCCCATATAATAAAATTTGGCTTAACCGGGTTTTCGATTAACCGTGACTTCCATCCCCACCATTAGCCCGGATAATCGAGAGTTGACTGTATATGTTATCAGGCTATGTGTGCTGTGTCATTCTCACACTGTAATAGCTTACTTGTATGTCACACATGTGGTATCTCTGTGTTCAAAACTGCACATTCTGAAGGGTAAAAGTATGATCTAATTGACTATTTAACTGGAAAAATAGGGGAGCAAGGTAAACATGAGTGATAAATGGAAAGAAGAGAGGTATATCCACTAGTAATTTAAATTAGAGTGAAGCACGGGCATGTTACTGTGAATTGTATATAGTTAACCTCTAAACTTAAAACTGAAACATGTCATTTATTTTCAGGAGTGGTGACCGCAAGAAACAGCACATATGTCATATTCCAGGATGTAATAAAGTGTATGGGAAGACTTCACATCTTCGAGCCCATCTGCGATGGCATACAGGAGAGAGGCCTTTTATATGCAGTTGGATATTTTGTGGGAAACGGTTCACACGCTCAGATGAACTGCAGGTACGGAAATTAAATTGTCAGTAGATACAAAGTTCTGTGTCTCTATTGTTTACAGTTGTGCTAGTACTGAACATTATATGCAGTTTTTATTTACATAAATGCTATTTGTCTCATGTATGTTTACCTCTGTGATTTAATAGTCTTCGAACAAAATTATATCTGTCTTTCTGCATACCTCTGATTTATTTTCTTCTAAAAGCATGAATATCTCACTTTGTTTTTATTCATGGCTGAATAGATTATGAGAACTGGGTGACAGGAACAACTTCTTCAGTTACACATCATCTGTGGCCCTCCACATGCAGTGAGACAAAGAAAAATTGACAAATGGGGAGCTCTTGTGACTTGTATTTCGTTGGTGATCATACGAGGAGAGTTCCGTATATAATGCCTCCTATTTTTTTAATGAAAACTACAACAGATACAGAAAGCATAATAATGCAGTTAAATAGAGCAAGATTTCAGCTACTTACAGTTATTTTTCCACATAATCACCACCATTTGTTATGCACTTTTGCCAGCGATGAACAAGAGCCTGTATGCTGTGTCTGTAAAAGTCTGAGCCAGCAGAGGCTAGCCACTTTCTTACAACTGCAATGACAGCATTGTTGTCCGGAAAATGTAGCCCACATAGTCCATCTTTCATAGGCCAAAAGAGATGGAAGTCTGAATTTGCTAAATTGGGGCTATAAGGTGGATGTGGTAGGACAGTCCAGCCAAACTTTGCAATGTGCGCGGTGGTTGCCAAACTGGTATGGGTTCTAGCGTTATTGTGTCGCAAGTGAAAGGTTGTCTGCTTCTCTGGCCTGACTCGGGAAATGCGGGCTTTCAGCTTAGTCAACATCGTCTTGTAGCATTCAGAATTGACAGTCTCACCAGGCTCCAGGAAATCCAACAAAATCACACCCCACCTATCCCAAAAGACCATGCACATTCCTTTCCCTGCCAATGGCTATGTGTTGAACTTCTTTTTTCTTGGGGAATCTGGATGTCACCACTCCATGGACTGTCTTTTGGATTCCAGCTCGTAGTAGTGACACCACGTCTCATCTCCGGTGATGATGCTTTCCAGAAACTTGTCACCTTTAGCCTCAAACTGATGCAACAGGCCCTGACAGACTTCCATTCGATGAGTTTTGTGGTCCTGTGCAGGCATCCATGGTACCCACCTGGAACAAACTTTGCGATAATCCAGCTTCCCCAACATCGTTTCCAATGCATTACAGCCGATATTAAGCCATGCACACAGTTCCCTGGTCATTATCCAGTGATCTGTACGGATGAGCTGATCGAGGTGCTGTTCATTGTGAGGAGTGGCAGCTGAGCAGGAACGCCCAGGGCGTGGTTTGTCGTGCACTTCACTTTTCCACTATTGAAATGCACTACCCACCGCCTCACTGTGCTGACATCCACTGTATCATCTCCATACACCTTTAGCAAGCGTCGATGGATGTCAATGGCTGCAGTTTGTTCGGCAGTGAGAATTTCAGTAACACATCTCTGTTCCGTACACACTTCTATGTCAGACGCCATTTTGGTAGATTGATCTGCTGTCGCTCTCTGTCAAATGACAACCAAACTAACAGTACATTGGCGGGAAGGTTCAACCGTTACTACAACACCACCAACATCCAGCTCAGATGTTACATATTAACACAAAAAAATAGGAGGCATTATATATGGAACGCCCTTCGTAGTACCTCAAAATAGGCCATGACCACATCTTTCTACATCTCTTCCAATTCTTCATTCACTAGTTCCTGCCATTTGGTGCTATATAGTCTGTTCTCCTCACAGCATCATTAAATAAACCATTGTTGCATCCTGAAAAAGAGTTTGAAAAATTTGTGGGGTCAGGGTTGTAATGATTATGAAGAGATGAGTGTTAATGACTTTAGATGAGAAGTATAAACTGTGGGGCTCCTTGTTGTGTACCTCTGGTAATGCTTGTCCCCAGGACAAACCCAAAATGCAGATGTGGCTCTTTTCATTGCAGAGGCATCGGCGGACACACACAGGTGAAAAAAGATTTCAATGCCCAGAGTGCAGTAAGAAGTTCATGAGAAGTGACCACCTCTCTAAACATATCAAAACACATACCAAGCAGAGGATAACAGTATGTAACTTAATAATTTCCCTTCGGTTCGTGTTTATTATAGTAACAGTATTTTATGCAAGGATAATGTTCTTTTGTCATTTATGTTTATTTAATATTTTAATTTATAACTTTGGGGATCTAGTCAGAGCTGAGGTACCCCTTTCTACATCGAGATTGGACTATAGGGGTGGATGACTGAGGAATCAAGAATTGATTCCTGGCAGGTCCAAGAGATTTTTATCTTCTTCACAGTGCCCACACTGGCTCTGGGTCTCACTCAGCCTCCTGTCCATCAGATACTGAGGATGCCTTCCCTGGGGTGAAGTGGCTGGGGCATGAAGTTTACCACTCACCTCTATCTAGTGCCACTGTTAAAAATATGTGGAGGTATACTTTCACTCTCCCATTTGTCTTTACCTACTTCTGCTTAGGGGTCCAGTATTTCTGTGGTTTGTCATTGAATTCTTTAATGGTCTCAGGTTTGAGATTGTCCACATCTAATGAGAATTTTTCTGTTAAGGCCCTTAACCCGAAGTAGGCCAGAACTCTGTGAATACCAGGTCTACATCACACAGTGGAGTCCATTGAGAATTTTTCACAACTTATATCTTACTCGTAAATTGCTTCTGACAGAGTGAAACTTTGTGCATGTGAATAATACCAGGCCCCAACTATGGTTCAGAGTCTAATGCAGACTTATTTTCCTCTTTTCTCTTGCATCTGAAGAGTGACAACGTCATGGATATAGGAAATACCATGCCCTTACCATTCAGCTGTAGGTGCCCTCTGCCAGCCGTCATCTTATTTGTCAGAGCAACATTTGGTATACCTAGAATCCTAATGTACCAGCACCCATACCTGGGAAGTATATTACTTCACCCTTGTCAAGTGACAGAGGCTGCAAAGGCAATACGAAGAGTGTTCATACAGTGAAATCCTTATTTAATGTTCCTTCCATTTAATAAAATTACATGTTAAGTGAATATTTTCTCTGGTTCCAACCAAAATCAAACGAAGCCACTGTATTATTTTCCGTATAGGGGAATTTCTGTTGAGAAAATAACCCTCAGTTATTGGGTAAGAAATTTCTTACCTTCTAGAACTCGCACCTCAACTTACTGTGTTTGCGGTTAGAACATCTGATGCATGTTTTCCATCAGCCTGAACTGTTTCTGCACAGCCATTCTGTTTATTTTTTCTGTCATTGTTTTAGAATCTGGTATTATTTTGTTTGTATTTATTTGTGTGGAAACAGTTTGTGCCTTTCAGTATTTATTTTATATGTTATACATTTTATTAGAAATTAATCAGATATTGTTGATTACATAATATTATTTATTTGTGTACAAACAGTTTCTTTTAACTATTATGTGTAGATATTATTTGACCATAATTGTCTACCGTAAGTCTTATAAGAAGATAGTTAGAGCCTTAATGTAATTTTGCATAATCCTTGATTTAGTGTGAGAAAATTTATTCCCCACAGACTGAGTAGAAATTTCACTGTAACTAAAATGGTTTACAGCTAGGACTGCTGTTTGTATAATTTTTTAAAGTTGGTGTGTGCTAATCATGTGGGCTATTTCAAGTGGAGGTCCATAAATGTGCATTTATAAGAGGGAGACCAAAAACTACCAAATTTATATTTATTTGCCAGATCTGTTCAGATGTACATATACCCTGTTATTTTGTATGCTATCCAGTGTTACATATTCAATTCTTAGAATTAGGCATTGTTTATTTTGCACTGAATAATGTATATTTAAATTTTTAAAGTACTTCGCATAGTAGAAGATTTCAAATTGTATATAATGTTATAGTGTTGTGTCATGGTGCAGTTTAGTAAGCACTGATAAAAATGGGAAACTGACAGTAAATGAATTTAGTACTTAATATAGTGAAATTAACACATTCCTAAAATGTATTATTTTTTTTTAATTACTTACAAATGTGTAGTGAATAATTGCATGCTCTTTCAGTATTTCCTTCATTTCAGATGCAGATTGAAGGGTCCTTTATGGTACTAGTTTATGTGTTTCGCATGTTGCACGTGTTTTTGCATTCAGTAGCAAAATTTTATGATATTGAAATGAATCCTCATGTAGTGAGTTCTGTGCTATAGTAGTTGTCCAGTGCAATTTCTCTATAGTAAGTTTGTGGTCATTGCATAAGTGCAAGAAAATGGTATAAAGATATTTGTTGAACCTTTGGTGATTCAGGTAAAGAAGTTTCATGTGAGTCAAGATTCAGAAGACTCTGTAACTAAATTATATTCAGTAGACATTAGATATTGGCAGTAGAAGTATAAATAAGTAACATCTTGTGCATTTGGGATTACCAGTATTCAAAATATAAAGAGAAATTGCACAAGTAATACTTTGGATATTAACCCATTGTCATTTTTTGATGGTTGAAATATGCTCTTCTATTCACATGGCATTTCTTGTATTTGAATGTCTATAAGTTATTGAATGAATATCAAAATACAGTAAATGCCCTGTTATCCAGCATGTATGGGGAATGGAGTGTGCCAGTTGTGTGAATCTGTCAGAATACATGGTGTGTTCAAAAAGTATCGAACCTTCTTTTTTCCTGTGTAAACCAATGAAGCGTGGAAGGCTCCCTTTGGTGGAGATGTGGAGGGGACATTCGTGTGCAGTCGTGAATATTTTCCCGCCCGCAGAAAGCATTAGTCGCTGGCAGTCGGCCTATGAGTGAGGATGTGTAGTGAGTGCTCGTTGGATTCCAGTAAGGTGTAAAATGACGGAACAACATGAGCAGCGCTATTGCATCAAATTTTGCCAAAAGCTTGGTGATACCCAAGTGGAAACCATTCGCAAGATTCAACAGGCTTTCGGGGACGATGCCATGAGCAACTCACAGATAAAGGAGTGGTACAACTGCTTCAAAGATGGCTGCACATCAGTGGACAGCGAACCGCATTCAGGCAGACCCTCAACAAGCCGAAATGAGAATGTCATTGAGCAAGTGTGGACTTCGGTCATGGAGGACTGTCGTATCACAGTCCGAGAACTTGCGAATGAGATGGGGGTAAGCATTGGATTGGTACATTCAATTTTGACCGAGGATTTGGGCATGAGGAGATTGTCCGCGAAATTCGTACCGAAACTGCTAACAGTGGAGCAGAAGCAACACCGTCTGGAAATCACACAGGACATGCCGGACTATGCAAACAGTAACCCCAACTTTCTGAACACCATGATCACAGGCGATGAGTCGTGGGTTTATGGGTACGACCCGGAAACCAAGATGCAGTCGTCACAGTGGAAACATCCGACATCCCCGAGGCCAAGAAAAGCACGGCAGGTCCGCAGCAATGTCAAGGCCATGTTGGCCGTTTTCTTCGACTCCCATAGGGTTGTGCATCATGAGTACGCACCACAAGGCCAAACCATCACAAAGGAATACTACCAGGAGGTGCTTCATCGCCTTCGTGATGCTGTGCAGCACAAACAACCGGATCTGTGGGCAGCAAAAACTTGGCAGCTCCATCATGATAACGCACCCACCCATTCTGCGCATCTGATTCAGACTTTCACCGCCAAACACAACATCCCTGTGGTTTGTCAGGCTCCCTACTCCCCCGACATGGCTCCATGTGACTTTTGGCTATTTCCCAAGCTGAAAATGCCGCTGAAAGGAACCTGATTTGAGTCAAAAGAAGACATCATGCGGAATGTGACGGCCCAGCTGATCACCATTCCAAAAGACGCGTTCTAGAAGTGTTTCCAACAATGGTGAAAGTGCTGGGAGAAGTGTGTGCATTACCAAGGAGACTACTTTGAAGGGGATTAGGGTTTTGTACCTCCAAATCAATAAATGTATTTCTGCCGACCAAAGGTTCGATACTTTTTGAACACACCTTTTATATTATATACTCAATACAGAGTCAGAACTTTAGTTCTTGCATTGGAGTCTTCTTAGGTGACACAGCACATTGATAGGTGAAAGATTCTGGATACATATACTGCAATGTAATCACAAATTCATTTAGCATCTATTGTAATGGCACTTTCCTCAGGGAAGAAGATGGGTAGTATTGCTAGTGGTGGCCAGGAAAACTACTGGGTGAACACATGCGAATTTAAAATTTGTTTTTGAATAAATTTATAAAAGTGGTAAATTTTCTTTTAAATTGTTGTCAGTTGGATGAGAATTCCAAATGTTTGGATATTGTATGACCAGGAGTTTACCGTCATTATGTTATTAGACCCACTAAGAAGTTTTGGAATGGAGTTCATAAAAGCCAGTGATTCGCTTAGGAGTCAGAAATAGTGCTCTTATGAAACTGGAGCTATCATTTCAGTTTTCCATATCATTAAAGATAAGACATGGAAAATAGTTATGTGCCCATTGTTAGATGGTTTCTCACATGAACGAAGAGCATAATGCTCAGGGGGTCATTTATGCTCTTGTAGAATTTTTTGGATAGTAGATCAAGGAGAATAGTGTGGGCAGTACACATAGTTAAGGTAGAATAAACAGGAAACAAAATTTTGGTTGGGAAATCTCTTGGAGATTGGTCATGTGGCAGACCAAGAAGTAAATTTGAGGGTGATATTAAAAGAAAATATCTGTAGAAAAATAGATTTTTGTAATGTGGATTGGACTGAATTATCTCAGGATTGGGTTCAGTGGAAGGTTCTTTTTTTTTATCAGCATTATTGCACATTCATATTCTAATATTTGAGACTGGTTAGTTAAATGGATGAAGTAACTGGTCAGCTTCATGCTTTGGCTGCTTTACCCTCAGAGGAAGAGTCTCAACTACCCATTTGACAGAAGACTGGGTGGACTGCAGAGACAGTCTGATGAAGTGGAAAAATCCATAGGATAATACCTGAAAATAAGTCACAGTTACTTCCTTTGGTATCCTTCAAAATTGTAGGTTTTTAGGTTTTTACAGAGATGATTATTAAGATCATGGCCATCTGGGTTAAGGCACCATGTGATCTTGTAGTCAGATATTAGCATGAAGGGCTTCTCCTCTTCCTCTTCCATGGGTCTGAGTAATCACCTTCCTTCAACCTGCATATATAACCAAACTAATTCCTCGCTCAATACACTTCCATGAAGATACAGGCACAGTGTTCCTCCAGAACACTGGTACAGTGGAACCTCGCTTAACGAGCATAATTCGTTCCAGAATCTTACCCATAATGCGAAACACTCGTTAAGCGAAACAATGTTTCCCCTATGAATTAATGTAAAATACAATAATGCATTCAATGCCGAAAAAATTATCAAAAAATTTTATGTATAACGTTTATTCAAAGAAAATTATATATACCTTGTTAAGGAACGTGAATCATCTTCATCTTTTCTTCTATGCGGAATGAACCAACCCGGAATGCGAATTTGATTTGCAGAAAACAAAAAAATCGATATAATTAGTTTATTATTTATGATACATATCTAATTCTTTTTTACTAGAAAGCTGTCTAGAGACATTTGTTTTTGCCGACGCTTCAAAATTTGGTGAAAATGCGACATAGCATTATCATTAAATAAATTTGTAGCATGCATAGCCACTGCCTTATTAGGGTGATGCTTCTCAATGCTTCTTCTTTGGCTGTTGATGATCCTGGCGTCTTCTTAACGAGGTCGGCGAAAATCACTTTCGCCTTCTCACAAATGATGTTCTCATTAATAATGTCGCCTTGCAATTGCTTTTCATTTATCCACATGAGGCGCAACCTTTCAACATCATCGAGAATACGTAACCGTTGTGTAGATATTCTTGTCACTCCCTTTGAAGCATCTATGTCCTTAATTTTGTCCTTCTTGAGGATAATGCAAATCGTTGATGTAGACCGATTGTATGTGCGTGCTAGATCAGCCATGCTCACACCTCATTCTCGCTTTTCAATGATTTTATGTTTCATTTCTACAGTTATTTTTATTATCTTATGGCTGTCTTTTTGCAGCTTTTCCTTTGGGGACATTTTTGCAAAATCACAAATAGTATGTCTCAACACAAGTTTGGAAAAATGTGTGATCACAAACGACACTAAGATGCTAGCGGAACGAGTGCTAAACACAGACTGATGTAGCTAGCGCACAATCCGGGACTTCCCCTCTTGTCACTTGTTATGCGAAACGTCGCCCGTTAAGTGAGTCATTTTTTTACAGTTTTGCTCGTTATGAGAGGTGCTCGTTAAGTGAGGTTCCACTGTATTTGCCTACAAGACTATGGTATCACAACCCAGACCACAGTCTGAATCCTTCAGAACTCTTCATTCATGATCATTCTCCCATTTGATGCTATATAGCGAATCCAGTTGAGAAATTGTCATTAAGTAAACTATGAAACGTATAATGAGAACAGTGGAAGAGAAATGAAAGCTTTGCTTAAAAATGTCTGTGTATGTGATATTCCTTAATGCTTGGTTCTGTATTCTACAAATAAATTCAAAATATAAGAAAAGTTAGAAGAAGAAATGTGGACAGATTTTTGAATTTAGATATTTGTATGCTGCAGAGAAGTATTTTCCATATTCAGTGAGAGACATAAATAATCTTTTAGTACTAGCACAGTGATATTTCTGGAGGCTTGGGAGCAGTTTAATTAAGAGCTCAATCAAAATGTTTTTAATAACCATGAAGTCGTCTTTTTATTACACTTTATTTATTTTCTTCCTTTTCTTTTATTCTATCTATTTATTATTTTTTACATTTCATTTGATGATCAAGATGCTATGACATCTGTGTCTCTATCTTGTATCCTTTGGTAGGTCTCATTAGAATAGGTGGAAGGTGATTCAGTAGTCACTGTTGGTTCTTGTGTCTTGGTAGGAAGGGATGGATGGTAATATTGACTATCTTTCTTCTTTTCTCTAATTAATGCCCTACTTTATAATCTGTGCCCACATACTTGATGGCACAATACACAAAATTGTATTATTATCATGTATCATTGTGGCTTTTACCGTACTTGCCCAAATACATTGCATGCTTTTTCTTCAGAATACCTCCTCAGAAATATATTTGCACATTACATTCACATATATGCAATTCAGTGAAGCATCTTACTGGAAGATATCAATGGAACTTTTTATTTTTTTTAAATTAGTTTATTTTATTTTCTATTAAAAAGCCAGTGAAAGACTTTTAAAAATCTGTACTGTAGTGGTAGTTGTTTCCTATATTTAGAAGGTATCCATATCTGTATGAAAGAAATGTTTTGGCGCATTAAATTCGGGCAAATACGGTAGATCCAATCATTGCACTTGAACAATTTTTTTTTTCTTTTTGAGGAATTTGATGAGAACGAGAGCAGTGAGAAAGAAGTTTGGATATCTGATGGTGCACCTAGTGGGATGTATTCTTTGAAACAAATTCATTTTTCTCAGGTATACTTGCCAATCAATTATTTACATATAATACATTTCACAGTATTTAGATATTGCTTGAACCTTCCATCTATTCATAGCAGATGGTATGAAACTATGAAATTGTAGTTTATTTCCAGCAGCAGTGTTTTGTTGTGTTACTGATTCTTCAGTCAATTATTTACATGGTAATTGAATTACATTTTGTGCTACATTATTACCAAATGGTTCTCACTAAGACCATTTATGCAAGTTACTGTGTGGACACACAAGTGCACACACCCAGAAATGAATTATACACTTTTGCCTAGGTGGTTAGAGATCACAAATGTGAACAAGGGCTACAAATGGAAACACTAGACAAACATATATATATATATGTTAAGATTAGATGTGTGCAAAATACCTGTTATTATGTGTTGCTTGCACGAAGTACACAAAGGCAACATACAACAGGGAAGTCATGTTTGTCCATCTTTAATAATCTTCCAGGATGGAGGCTATATACAAACGATAGATCTATCTTGTTATCCACCTGCATATCTTATCTATGATAGTACACAGATAATGATAAAGCATGATGTTGAGGGTCTACACTAAAAGTGTTAGCAAGATTTTATGTTGATCTTTGTTTGTCCAGTACATATAACGAAATTTTATCAGTTTTGTCAAAAATAAACCAATTACACAAAATATGGATCACATAAGATCTATAACTTTGATTTTAAATGTATTTATATACTCTGTTTATGTAAGAAATACAAGTCAGAATAATTTATGTCTCTATACAATGTGATGACCATCAGTAGTACTCAATATCTCTCCAGAGGTCTTCCGTCCACTTGTGGAATCGATGCCACGTCGAGTTGCTGCACTTCGCAGGGCTTGAGGGGTCCTTAGACAATACTAGGTACCTATCCCATGACTTTTGGCACTTCAGTGCATTGTGGCATATTGGCTCTATTCAGGAAGTGTTGAGCAACAGAGGCCTCGGAGCATGCGCACAGCGTGAGAGTTTCGGATTGTATCGTTGCGTTGCTAGGCGACAACTCTGTGAACGCTTGGATTGCCCAACAGGAAGTACGAGTGCCATCACATACCCCACTCATCCCATAACTATGCAACGCTCGGTAAACACCCCTCCCCACTAGGCTGTGACGTCACACAACAGGCGAGTCCATGGAGAGACTATAGCTAGGCAATCGGTAAACATGACGTCACACAACAGTGGTAGCTATCACGTAACTGTTTTCTGTGTTGTCAGTGGGGAAGCTTCATAATGAGGAGTATTTCTCAGTGTTGAACTAGAGAGAGAGAGATACTAGTATTGAGGATGGAGTATTCAGTATGAGTTGAAGTCCATTGTTATTGAGTCGTGTCGAGTGAATGGCAGTGACTACAGCAAGGGAAGTAATTGTGATACTGCAGATGGCAGTAGTTGTGAAATTGTAAATTGTGTAAGTGTAAGAGCGAATGTGGAATAAATTCGCTAGATCCAAGATGGCGTGAAGTTATTTGTTGTGTGATGCATACCCAACACATGACAGTTTGGTGACAGAAGTGTCTACAAACTTAAACATGTCAGAAAGTAGAACAAATTATTGTGCATCAAGTATTATACTGCCACAAAATGGAGATACAGCAGATGATGGAATTCCTGCTGAATGAAATGAGGGCTGATAAAAAACCAACAAAGAAGAAATGGAGGCCAGTAGAAAAAACTGGCAAGAAGAGATTGCCACATGGCGAGAAAAGATGGACGCAAAAACAGAGGCCATCCGAGCAGAAATGAGAGCCAGTCAGGCAAGGACAAAAGCCATACAAGAAGAGATGGCTGCCACATGAGAAAAGATGGAAACCAGCCACAAGGAGATGGTGGCCGAAATTGAACCCGGAAAAGACGTAAAGACGATGGCCTGCCGAGAAACGACGGAGACACGTCTAGAAAATGAGCCAACCTCAGTGAACAGGAAACCTGAGGCGGCACAACAAGGAGATGTCTCTAAAGAAGACGCCGAAGTAACGCTAGTTGGAGAACTGAAGAAGAAAAGGCATAAGAACCGAAACCAGTGAAAAATGAAGGAATGATCCCAGGGCAATGTTTGGTGCCGAAAGAAGTTGGCTGTTGCCCGCATGGAGGCAACATGGGAAAATCATGTTTCCCAAAAGAAATTGGCCATCGCCTGCAGAGTAACAACCCGCTGTGAGAAAGTGGCATGGCAAGAAGGAAGATGTCGTTCGGAGAAACCCCACCAGGGCCATGATTGAGCGAGCAATCCAGAGAGTAGGGCTGCTCAAGAAGAATTTACAGGCACACCATAAAGGAACAAAAGATTGATGTGGCAAGCAGCTGCTACACGGGAGGAAGAAGGGGACAACCACAGATGGCATCCATAAGTGGAGCCCAAGAGAGCAATCACTTCTGGGAAGTGGAGGAACACTAGTGAAACTCTTATATGAGACCTACGGTCTGAAAAGCACTAAATGAATACCCAAGGCTTCCAGCAGGATGCGGAGAATCATGGATTGGACATTGTGGAGGGGCTGACCCCCTCCAAAACAGAAAAAGAGACTGTAAGCAGAGGAGGAACCGGTAATGTAGAAACACCGGCCTCCCCGGCATGAATGAGGAGCGAATGTGAAACAATGGATTGATGAACACTGGACCATGGAATTGCTCGGGATGAACAATCTTAAGAAGGAAGTGGATGTAATGGCCGGAGAATAGTCGCTGCAAGAGGAGTAGATGGACCAAAAGAAGACGTAGCAAGTGCAGCCTTGAAAGAGAAGGAACGGGGATGCACCGTTAGGCTATTTGGGATGAACAGCCTTAAGAAGGGAGCAATGTGGCATATTAGCTCTATTCAGGAACTGTTGAGCCACAGAGGCGTCAGGGCACGTGCACAACGTGAGAGTTGTGGATTGTATCGGCGCATTGCTAGACAACAACTCTGTGCATGCTTGGATTGTGCAACAGGACGTGTGAGTGACATCACATACCCCACTCATCCCATAACTATGCAACACTCGGTAAACACCTCTTCCCGCTAGGCTGTGACATCACGCAACAGGAGACTCCGTGCAGAGACTATTGCTAGGCATTTGGTAAACACGGTGTCACACAACAGTGGTAGCTATCACATAACTGTTTTCTGTGTTGTCAGTGCAGATGCTACATAATGAAAAGTATTCATCAGTGTTGAACTCGAGAGAGAGATACTAGTATTGAGGATGGAGTATTCAGTATGAGTTGAAGTCCATTGTTATTGAGTCGTGTCGAGTGAATGGCAGTGACTACAGCAAGGGAAGTAATTGTGATACTGCAGATGGCAGTAGTTGTGAGATTGTGACTTGTGTAAGCATAAGAGCGAATGTGGAATAAATTCGCTAGATCCAAGAGGGTGTGAAGTTATTTGTCGCATGACACATACCCAACATGTGACAATATAGTATGAGTAGTTTTGCAATGGTAGATTTGTGTTTTCAATAAATTAACATCAAGAGCAATTCCCTATATAAAAGTAACGTATTTGTAAAAGATTCAGTACTTCAGCCTGGAGTATAAATTTCCACTGATATTAATTTGGTACTTACAGTTTCTTAAGAAGAAAAGTATAAAGTGAAAGCTCAGGTCCTGTTCACTGGATTATATTCCTTTGGCAAAACTGCTTGCAACCAGTATGTTAATTTTGTGCTTGTAAAAGTACCAGTTTTTGAATATGAGACAAGCTGAAGAATAAAATTAATGATCGTGAATTTATCTGAGAACAGTGGGAAGTTCTGTGTAGGACTTAATGTTGTTTGCTTTCCTTCAGAAGTTTAGGGCTGTGTGATATGGCTACCAAGAACTATAAACTGTATTTATAAAATTAAGTGATCCTTTTCTGTGATTATATCCAGTGGTTCACATTTTCACTACATTAAATTTGTCAGAATCTGGAAGTTTGCATGGCTACTATGGCTGCACTCCTTAATATAAGAAAGAATGTCTGATATAAAATTTGTAGAATCTGTATACAAAATTTCACATGCCAGGCTCCAGTGACTTGCTGTCATCATCAGACAAAGAGTTGAATATAGATTTCACATGTTTGTTTTACCCTGCACCAAAAGAAAGGTCTTTAACAAAATTCTATATTTGGTTAACCTTACCACACATGTTTTCAGGATCCTGTGCAAGTACAGACACTATTGTTATTCCTATATTGCATATTCTTATGGCTGCAATGTTATTAATATGGATGGTAAGAAATTAAAAAGGACATAGATCAGGTGCAATCTAATGGCACGAACTTTCATACAAATCTGTCAGTTGATTCATAAGTTATTAGAGGGTGGACCAACACAGACACTCAGCATAATTATGCTATAAGCGTTAGCCATCTTATAATATTAGAGAAGTAGGCTAAAAATTGCCAAAGTAATAATTTTATTTCAGAGTTGATTTATTAGATTTATTTTATAAGCTGTATATACTGGATGCTCCAACTTTAGTATATATATATGTGTGTGTGTGTGTGTGTGTCTGTGTGGGGCAGGGGTGGGCAGGCAATTGTGTGTGCACATATGCATATGTGGGTTTGGATGTGTGTATGGATCAGCTGTATAATTGAAAAAGGGGTTCAAGATTTCCCACACTTTTTACTTATGTGTGTTGTCTACAGCAAGGGTCTCCAAACTATGGCCCGCGAAAGAATTGTGCAGAAATGCGCCAAATGAACTAATTTTCCAATGAGTACTGGTAAAAAAAATACTTGTTCATAGATTTCAAATTCATTAATTAATATTGCATTTAAAATATATTGATATTCCATATTATGTTAATATTAATATTATTCACAATTTTACTAATTCTGGACCGTGTACTTCATGGTATTTCTTCATGCTTGTTCGTCCTCAATCGGCAGTGTCACTTCGTGGCAATGTAGGTAGCGCGAGCAGTTCGTTACTAGCCGTCTTGTGCACAAGACTTCTTGCAGTGGTGCAGTGTAATTGTAACAGATCATCATCACCTCAATGTAATCAGATTTTAAGAATGCAAAAAGAGTTCCATCATTCACATTAATTGTTTTATTAAAATTTGTGATGAAAATATAAGCATTTGCTGCTACTGTCTGTTGTCATTAATATACGATAATTTATTCTCACGTACTTTGTATTTAGTTTATGAAATAAAACTCATATACCTAGAGTTATTAATTTCTCATTTTATCCGGCCCGTTGAAAGTGCTGAATTACCTAATGTGGCCCACGTTTTGAAAAGTTTGGAGACCCCTGATCTACAGTAAGGACTTTCACAGTATTCCTGTCTGAACTGGTATAGCAGTAATATAGTAGACCCACCATACAGCAGATATTTCACTTCCTTGTTGGAGAGAATTCTAGAGACCTCGGACACAAGTACGCATTATTTGATACTGCTTCTGTGCCTGTCAAAACTGCAAATTAATAATATTTGCAAATAAAGAACATTATTCCAAACATTGCCCTACTGTTTTGTTTAGACCTCTGGCAAGCAAATAAATTGACAGTGGCTGATGACAACTGCGAGGGTGGATTTTTCTATGAAATATATTCTATAAACAGTGATGTAAAAGAACTACTGCTCACCATCAGTTCTAGACTCAAAACTATGGATTATGTCTCTTCTTCACAAATCATCTGTAACTAGCAGAATTTTAAATGTGTGCTTTCTTTTTTTAATGCAGTTTTGGATCTGAATAGTATATCTTTGTAGTGAATCATGCACTGTGTGACAGACATTAGCAATATATCCAGCTATTAAAATGTCAAAAATTAGATTAAATTTTGTTTTAATACACCCCATAAATGTTCAAATACACACTTTTCATGGTTCATAATAAGTAATATTCCGTCTTACTCCCTCTCTCTCTCTTTTTCCTGTTGCTCGCACTTTGGAGCATAGGGTATCCGTGAAACGCTTTGTTTCACGTCAGTTTCTTAATTCTAAGACAGTCGGTAGGACTCCTTGGATGAAGGATCAGCCCATCACAAGGCCACTACCTACACAGGACAACACAAACAGAATAAACGCAGAAAAACGTCCATGCCTTGAGTGGGATTTGAACCCATGATCCCAGTGTTCATGCAAGTGAAGTGAGTTCATGCCTTAGATCATGCAGCCACTGTGATTGGCTATAATTAATATCGGCATGTGTGAAAAATCTGCACTGCAATTGGAGGAACAACTTTTGTTGTTTGTAATTATTACTTACATTTAAGTTCTTGGACTCCCACATTTCATTTTTGTAAAGTTCAGACCACATTTGTTTTGGAGAATGTTGAGTAAATTATTTTGTTACCATGTATGAAAGTTATGTATTCTGTGATACCAGTAACAGACTATTTGTTTGGAGCAGAGTGTTGTGCTTCTTTTTATTTCCTCAGTAAATAGGATAGCTTATGCCTTTATGACTCTGTATCATTCTAGCATTGCTTCGTAGTCATTCATCATCTTGTCTTCATCTTCACAGAAGCTCATATGGCAGTGTTAAGCAGTGCAATTCCCTCTTTCATAACCATACTGCTGTACATTAGATCGGGATAAGAGAGCCTGTGTTAAATTAACGTGTGGCTGAATGGTTTCTTAGTGGTTACAATAGTGTTCATTGTTGTCACAGTCCCCAGTGCTTTTGTTACCTTGGAATGAATGGGTGAAGAAATTGATTTGGCCTTGAACCCATGCATGTACAAGCAAAATTAGCAATTCTTCTGAGTTTTCTTTTCTAAAACAAAGAACTTATGTATTTATGCTAGTGTTACTAGTTTCTGAGGTACAGAATGGAACAAATAGATGGAGAGATATTTGTGAACTGTGTATATATGGTTAAATATATTATAATATATAATGTGTTCTTTGTAAGAGACTTTACTACATTTGTTTTAGGCAGTTTCCTAATGAATGTCTGATGATGACAGTAAGAATGAAAACGTCTGAGCTTTATGTTATAATTTTAATAAGTCATAAGTTATAGAATATTTCGGGAATTTACGTTTCCATGTTAATGTGGATGATGATTTTGACTGATGACACACTGTAGTAGATGTAGGTTGTAGTACCATCATCATGGAAATCATCACTGTCTCCATGTTCAAGATTTTGCCTATCCCTCTGTTGTCATGGAAGCACCAGTATTATGTATTTCAGATTTAGAATGCTGTGTTTCTGGTAACAGTGATTTTGGCAGTTCTGTGATATTATCATGTATAGGGAGTCACAGGAAATGTTTAAACTATAGAAGCTGCTTTTGTCTTTTTTTTTTGTCAGTACATTGAATTATGTATTGATGTTCTTCATATCAGCATGATATACTACATAATTTTCATTGTTATTGCAGGAAGCAGCCACATCAACACAGTCTGTATCATCAGATGGAAGTTCTTCGAATGAAGAAAAAATGATGATAACAATACAGACTGAAGCTGATCAATCAGACTTAGCCATCAATGATACTCTGGAATCATCAGTATCCAACTAGAATCTCACTTTAGGAATATGTCCATATCATTGCCTTTCTTGCAAACTCAACACATGTTCATGTACTTGTGGGTTCCTCATCTTGCACCAGGGAAGTTCACTCACGATCTCCGAATTGAGATATTTAAGATGCATATATCAATTTTGTTCTTACAGAAACACATGAAACTATTCCTTGTGAAGAGAAGGTGTGGACAGTTTATGGTTTGTGTGTCAGATGTCATGACCTAGGTCATTGTATTTATCCCATGACATGATTGAAAGTTAATAGCAACAGTGTTAGAAAGTGGTTGAAAATCCTCTGATCATATTTGCATAGGTGGCACCAAGTATCATGCTCGAGTAGGTAGCATTTCTGCTTCATATTTTGGAGGTCCCAGTACAGTAAGAGAAATTATTAACAGATATGAACATTTGACTTGTGTTTGGGTACCAGGTTATTTGATCGCTCAAAACATTTCCAATCCTCCAAGCAAATGAATCAAACTTATGCAGTGATAAAAAAGAAACATCTTACTTTAGTTAAAGTAATACCTCAGTGCTGCTTCAGCAGAAGAGTAAATACTTTTGATTTTCCAAAGGTTTGTGATAATACTGTCACAGAAATTTCTGAAATGTTATTTATGGGAAATATACCCTAAACAATAGACAATGTCCAAAATAATATTTGTACATGAAATACTTATCTTACATCCAGAATTACTTCATTGTAGTACAGACCAGCTGAAAATATTGATCAGAAAATGTTCCACAGAGTACACTGTGGGCTCTTCTCTGTAGTCAGGTGATTCCATACTGTCAACTCAAGGAATCCTGGTATCCTTCTGTTTCCTGTTTTATCATATACTGGTCAGAACTGTAGGAAACAGACACACACTCAGTTGTTTGTTCACATCATAACACCAGGTTCAAATCTTGACCTGGAGAAAAGATATCCTGACTGAAATTTTCATGATTATTGTTAATCCCTCTATGGAAATCCAGGATAATACCTCAAATTAGGCATCAACCACTTCTTCCATAACCATTCCAGTTCATTCAGTGACATATAATCAAAGCTGTTGACAGCTGTTAAATATACTGGGAGTGAAGAAAGATTGACTGTAATCCCACTTTTTATACAAATATTGACGCAATTGCATAATTGATTGAGGCACTATGATACAAGCCAGAAGGTGGCAGGTTCGATGCCTGATGAGGTTGTTGGGTTTTTCAGTTGATCTAATCCTTCCAGCCGCACTATTGCCCTGGGGTTGACTCAGCCCCTAATGGAATTGAGTACTAGGAATCTTCCTGGGGGTAAAGTGCGACTAGCGGGTAAGGCTGACAACCTCACTGCCATTTGTGAGCCTACTGTCTAGAAAATGTGGGAGCCTTGACATCTCACAACCCTATGCACCTCCACAGCCTGTTACAGGGATAGCTTTACCTCTTTTTATTATTTTTTTAAACAAATGTTGAGGGTTGTTCAAGTGAACCCTGTTTGCAGATTCAAGTTTGACGAAGACAGCAAGGCCATAGTGATATGATGGTTCCGGCAGCAGACGCAGAGTTCTTGTGGAGAGGTTCCATCAGCTGGTGCATCAGTGCACATGGGGACTAGTCCTTTGCCCAGAAGAATCCCCAAACAGCTTTCATTTAAATAACCCTCATATTTCAGTGTTATTATATCTTCATATGCATAATTTGGAAATTGAGAAACCATGTGAAAGGAACACTGCCACTATATACTGTACAATCTATTGAACCATCAAGAGATTTAATTCTGATGTAGCCAGTCTATGAACTAATTTATAATCTTTCCTGTAGTCATCCACTGAAAAGCTTGCCCACATCTGCTGTAGATTATAGTTTTGGTTAATGTATGTGTCCCTGTGTTGCACTATTAAGAGTGACAAAAAGGAGTTTGTAGGTAGGCATTGTGCAGTGGGTACAGTGTGAAGGTGACCACTCACCTCCATTTAATGTCACAGTTAAGGATGGAGCAGAGCTATACCTCCACTCCTCCATGTATGTTCATGGCATGGTGCTTAATTAAGCCCAGGGATAACTTCACCTTTACCTATACATTATAGGCAAAGTGTTAACAGCAGTTATGTAGATCCAACTTTAGAAAAAGTAGAGTTCTTTCAGAATGATATGTAAGCAGTGCTCTTTGGGGGGGGGGCATCATGCATATTGCTGTGTACGGCCAGAAAAAATGACTACATGAAAGTATCTCTGACTACTAGAATGCAGTGTTGATGTTGAATTCTGGTCAGTATTTGAATGATGCAATATCAGTAAAGTAGTTCACCAGTTCATAACAATCTGGTATTTTGTGAGAAATTTTTGGCTGTGTACATATTTTTAATATATTGATTCAGTGCAAAGGTTAAGAATATGTGGAACTATACCTCACTCCTTCATGTCTTCATGGCATGGTTGGTAATTAGGCACTGGGAAAAGATCACCGTTACATAGTTCTCATTATGTTCCAATTTATTAAGAGGGAACATTTGGAATTATATACTGTTAAACTCGCAAGCTTCATTAATTGTATCGAACCAGTCTCTTTGGCTTTGCTGTTACAAATATTAACTGACAATGCACGTTTTATATGTGTTTTGTCATGTATAAAACACATTGAACATCAAGAGTTTAAGTTCTTAGAGTGGGGAGTATTGGGAACAACTATAACAAATCAAAATCTGATTCAGGAGGAGACTGAACTCAGGCAATGCTTGCTACCATTCAGTCTAGAACCTTTTGTCTTCTTGTCTGCTGTCTAAAAACATAAAAATTAGAATATACAAAACTATAATTTTGCTTGTGGTTCTGTATGGGTGTGAAACTTGGTCTCTGACTTTAAGGGAGAACATAGACTGAGGTGTTTGAGAAGAGGGTGCTGAGGAGAATATTTGAACCAAAGAGAGATGAGGTGATGGGAGGTTGGAGAAAACTGCATAATGAGGAGCTTCATAACTTGCACTCTTCTCCAAGTATAATTAGAATGATCAAGTCAAGGAGGATGAGATGGGCAAGGCATGTAGCATGAGTGGAAGAGGAGGAATGCATATATGCTAATGGTGGGAAAGCAGAAGGAAGGGGACCACTGGGAAGACCAAGATGTAGGTGGGTGGACAATATTAAAATGGATCTTAGAGAGACAGGAAGGGGTGGTATGGATTGGATTGATCTGGCTCAAGATAGGGACCAGTGGAGGGCTCCTGAGAACATGGTAATGAACCTTTGGGTCCCATAAAATGCTGAGAAGTTCTTGAGTAGCTGCACAATTGGCAGCTTCTGTAGAAGGAGCATGAGAGTGGGGAATATAATTGAGTGCTATCATCTGGGAGGGGGCACGCGGTAGCGTAGTTGGTTGAGGCACTGTGCTCAAGCTGGGAGTTCACGGGTTCAAGTCCCGATGAGGTCATTGGATTTTTTCAATTGACTTAATCCTTCCAGCTGCACTATGGCCCTGGGGTCGCCTCAGACTCTAAAAGAAATGAGTACCAGGAATGAATTAAATAATTTTCCTGGGGAGTAAAGCGCGGCTGGCACATAAGGCTGACAGCCTTACCGCCATCTTTGAGCTGATTGTCTAGATAATGTGGGAGCCTCAATGTCTCACAACCCTATGGGCCTTCACGGGCTGTTACAGGGATAGCTTTAATTTACTTTTTTTACTATCTTCTGGGATGTTACACCATGTAATCTGGCATAGGTTGTATACAGGACAGTAAAGAACAGTGAATTGGGAAGGATATGGAAGGAGTCAGTGCTTATCTTAAGATACTTCTGTAGATGCTCCATGGAGGAACCATAAAAACCAGTCAGTTTTGCCAGTCACTGGGCCAAGATTTTGAACCTGTCAGCTGAACATTAAAGTCAGTGTGATCGCCGAAACATGGTGTAGCAGTACATCAAGACATGATGTAGAAGACTGGAAAAAATGACTTGAGATGCTTCATAATTTGCATTATTCACCTAAAGTTTAATTAGGTTTAATTAGGTTAATTAAATGAAGGATGAAGTGAACAAGTTGGTATGGGGAACATGCATACAAAATGTTGGCTGGATAGTGACCACTTGGGAGACCTGGACTTACTGAATTATGCAGGCTTAGGATAGGGCCCAGTGTCAGTTCTTTAAACAATGTGATGAATCTCAGGTTCTACTAAAGTATGAAATTGCTTGAGCAGCTAAGTGACCATGAACTTACAGGAAGACATTGTTCCATTAACCTAGCAACTTCAGAAACATGTTGGAACTGATATGGTAATTTGAAATGGGGTAGGAAATGGCTCAGTCATTTGCATTCATCATGTATCATGCTTTGAAGAAATATGATACATAGCATATAGAACCATTTCTTTTACTCCAAAGTACTAATCTATGTCACCATAAAATTATCTTCTGTATTCCAAGAAAACTGATATTTTGAGATATTTTAATCACTCTTAAATGTGCAACACTGTTATCCAACTGCATATGTTTAAATAATGTAAAGAATATTTACCATGTACCTTTCCTGCAAGTTGTCACCTCATATAAGGATTTAAAATAATTATTTTTCCTGTTCAAAATCGTTAATGAATATAATTATGTTATATAACTTTGAAGGTTACAGGGGATTTAAAAATTAGAGTTTATCAAACTTTTAAATATTTAATTAAAATTCTATATCATTTAAAAAACTAAATTAGGAACTATATTGATGCCCCTTGTCACTGTATCCCTATGCAACCTTCATGCAAATGTAAGACTTTTATAGGATGGTAGTGAACGAGACACACTTTATAAAATGTTTTAATGAAAAGCTTGGAATTATGGTCTCAGTAGTCCAGTGTAACTAACTTTATAATTTTTACAATAATATTTTTAAAACACTTATAGAAGCACATTAATGTAGTGTTGAACTACTTGGAGAAATATTTTTGTACTTAAATGTATATTTATGTGTTATCCTTTTATCTATGTGTATATAAAAACCTGATGATGAGGGCAATATAAAAGAATCAGAACTGTCTCTGGAGTATTCAGTTTCTCTCGCTTTCTCTCTCTCACACATGCATGCACTCATTTCAGTATAAAATTCAGAAGAATAAATGAGAATCACAAGGTAAATAGATTTTATTATATAACATTTAATTACTTAAACAAATATTAATGTCCCATGTTGGAATGATTTATGACTTATGAACGAGTGTATTTTCCCCAGATGTGCAGCATGAAGACGGAAGCAATAAACAGCAGTGACATCACCAGAACAGGAACTGGACCCCTGGAATTTAAATACGACATGTTACTCTTAATGTTATGGATTAAGCATTTTTCAGCCTTTTCCATATGATGGCACATTAGAACATACTTTTACATCTAACAGCATACCAAATCACACCAGAAACAATATTCATATTGTCTTTCATATTTCACTGTCCCTTTTTAGTAATACTTTTTGTAGTACACATTACAGCCTGTTAAGATAAGATTAAAAGTATGGATTCTGTAAATCTGTAGCCTGTAACGAAATGTGAAAAATATTGAGGCAGCAACAGTGACACAAAGAACCACACTACAGCTGATGACAGAACAGGGAAGGAGAAGATTCACTGCTACTACACATGCTGTGTGAAACTGGCAAAAATGCATTCAAATTAAAAATGTTGTGGCACAGACTCATATGCTGATACACTGTTGTCATGGAACACTAGTCAAGAAACACTGTTAAATATTATGCAACTCTGTACAAGGATGAAAGTATTGTCATGTGATTTATATAAAATAGGCCAAATGTTTTAGACATTAACTGTACAAGGTTTTATTTTTTGGAACTGTTTTGTTTTTGTTTCAGGGGTGCATTACAGGCAGAGAGGTAGATCTGTATCTCCTAGCATGTTTGGAGTGTTATAAGGGGGCAGCACTTACTCGCACCCAAACTTTTGTAGCTAGCACCTGTTTTTTCTGACCAAAAGGGCTATTTTTATATTATGGGCATACAAACTATGCATGTTTAGTAATTCTGAAATAGCTAAATATTAGCTTATCCAAACTTTGACCTAGGGTTCTTGTGCAGTGGGTGGCAGCCAGTGTTCGAAACACAGCAATGAAATTTTGATTCAGGAAGAAATTTTCAATATTTAAAGAAAGTGCAGTGCATATAGCACCACCAAATCAGACTATAACCAGCACAACAATAAGATTTTTAAGCTTACATTACTAAAATCTTATGAAAACATTAAACTGTAACCTATATACTCAAGAAAACCAAGCAACAACATTGCTTAGATATCATATTTAGTAAACATATCTCACCTGATAGTATACTTACACTTTAATGCCAGGAGAATCATCAGTATAGAACCTCCACATGCCACCACTCCCTGCTCCAGTGGTTCGGTTCCTGGCTGCTGCAGTTGATGGTGTTGCTTTCCTATAAAGTTAAATAAAGTAAAAACTCTCCTGTTCTTAATTAATTTTCATTCCAAGACAACATATAGGGAGCAAAGGTATAGCTCCATGCATTCTTAACCTTGGAATTAGATTATGGTAAGATAGATTGGGTGGATCCCAATGTTTGTCTGAGTGCTGTGCAGAAGAGGAAAATAATTTACCTCTGGCAGGAATGGAACCCCAATACCTTATTAAACTAGTCTGCAGCCTAGGCATTACACCAACTGAGCTAGTAGGCCTCTCTCATCTGAAGTATGGTTAAGTTAAAAGTGAATTTATTTTGTTTAAAATTCCTTTCTTAGTGGCAGAGGTTTTATATATAGGGAAGTGGCCATGGCATATTTTAAGGCATCACTTCCATAAAATATCACTTTTGACATTTCTTTTTATACACAGGTAAGTGTAATTTAAGCTACATGTAAGAAAGAACACATCCAGACATCTGATAAACGTGATATATGGTATTCAGAATCAACAATATACAAAAAGAAATGCAACTGATCAAAACCCTGGTTAATGTTTGATACACAGGATTCATCTCTCTACATATATTCAAATGTGTGGTCTAATTATTCATGGCTATCATTCTAATTATACTTGTACTCTTCTCCAAGTATAATTAGAATGATCAAATTAAGGATGAGATGGGCAGGGCTTGAAGAGGAATGGATATTGGTGATCGGTAGGAAAGCCAGAAGGAAAGAGACCACTGGGAAGATCAAGACGTAAGTGGGTGGACAATATTAAAATGGATCTTAGAGAGATACGATGAGATGGATTGACCTGGCCCAGAATAGGGACCAGTGGTGGGCTCTTGTGAACATGGCAATGAATCTTCGGGTTAAATAAAATGCTGGGAAATTCTTGAGTGTAGCTGCACAATTGGCAGTTTCTCAAGAATAGCTCAGCTATTCTTGAGTGAGTGAGTGATGGCTGCGCTACCAATAATAATTTTTTCCAGTGTGTATTTACATACAGTCTTCCAACTCATTCAGACATGCACTATATCATGATCTGCCTTAGTCTGCCTTACTGCTATACCAGCAACATCATCTTGCAAAGATAGTTTTCTTTCTGTGCTTTATGCACATCCTTGCCTCCCAAAGGGTTATGTAATGACAGAAATTTTAAGTGGATATGTGAATGCTTTGAAGGGGGAAAATAATAATACATATTTCATTAAATATTTATGAGGGTCCATCATGTCAACCCTCTCAGAAGTGTCACCCTTCCAAGTACAAAGGTATGGTTTACAAGAGTACAATCTCTGCAGGATATCTGCATTATTTTATGGGACTATAACAACAAATCTGAGCAGATCTCCTCTAACCATGACAGAGCACATCCTCGAATTGTGGAGATCCAACAAGGGATGGCCTTCCAGCTTGGGTGGGGATGGATAGATGGTACATTATGAATTGCCACAAAAGGCATCATTCTTTGACACAAGCAGAGATTTTCTTGGTCATCAGAATAACTACCAACAGCTCTAAAAAATCCTATACTGTATAGTATGAAGTGCCAAGCTTATACTGATCAATTTCCCAAGACAGACTGCTAATCTTCAACATTTTAATTCGTATGGCCTTATGGCATTTCTGGTGGATGTTTCTCTTTTCTCTTCTCAGTAAAATAATTTTGTTACTTCTCACCTCTGTCTAACAGTACCACCACTCGCTGCTCTTGGAGCTACAGCTTTGGTAGGGGATCTGCTTCCAGCACCCACAGATGTTGAACTTGGTGCTGCGGGCTGAAAATTCAAGAAAATTATAATTCCGAAGACGAATTTTGGCATGTCCAAGAAATAATTATGTGAATATCTCCAAAAACAGCAAATATGCTTAACATATTATTACCATTTTACAATAATTTGCTTCACCCTATACCACAGGAACAAGCACTGCTTAACTTTTATCGCTCAGCAACAAACCACACACACACTCTAGCACACCAGATAAACAAGAAAAACGACACCCAACAGCTAACCTACTTCTATCTCTACCGCTTCCACGTCTGAAATTTACCGACACGTCACGAACAAATGAAATGTCATCACCGTCATCACCGAGATTACCAACAATGCAATGCAAAATAGAAACCAGCTCGTTGCGCTATCGTGTGATAAAGCGGCAAACTCTATGACAGAATGCGCTGAATTATGTCGACCGCAGCACTGAATAAGTAATTGTGTTTTACAATTTTGGTCGTCTTCGAGTGGAATTTCAATTAACAGAATAATGGAAGCGGTACCTAGGTTGCCGATGCTAAGCTTTGACATGAAAGTGAGTCCAGAAAGTACATCCTTTGGGCCGAAATTGAAACAGGTAACTAAACCACTGTTTAAGTATGTATGTTCCACCAGACAAATTGCACGTTTGTAAATTTCTTAGAGCAGTGCCCGGAGTTAATGTAAAAGTGAATCCTGGCCTTCTGAAGCTTCAGACAGAATTCTCTATTCATAGCCACGTTCCTAGAATTCTTCATTTCCAGGGCCCTTATATCCTGGATCACACCATCTCCCATCTCACTTTCGGTCTTCCAGTCTCCCTAGTCCCTTCAGGTCTGGTTATCAGACACCTTTTTGGCTGTCCTGCTGTTTTCCATACATAGTATGTCCAGCCCAGCTTAATCTTTTTATTTTTATAAGGTGCAATTTTACCTGTGTTTAACTAATTAAGCACCCTGCCATGAAGGCGTATGGATGAGTGGATGTATAGATCCACATTTTCTTGACATCAGCACATTTACTTCTTTAATAGTAAGTTTGTTAAATTTTTCATTCTGCTGCAGTTTTCGTTTGTAAATGGAATGCCTGTGACCATCAAGGTTCCTAACTACAGTGTTTAAACAGAATTTCAGAATGTTTTCTGAGATGTAGGGAAACATGATCTTATCAAAATTATTTTGTTACTAAAACTTTTAACCTTTAAGTCAATTCCAATAACATCGAAACACACAACCCAATATTTCAGACAGTACATGAACTTTACGATAGATAGCATTAAACACGCTACCTAGAAAGATATATAAGAAAGAACAGATACACTATGTTTAGTACACAGGTAGACTGCACTAGTGATACATACGACACAAAAACATAAGTACAGAATCACAACATTTGTTATATGATAACATGATAAAAAATCATGGAAGTGTTTGTGCTAGTTATACTAATACACATTATACATTGCAGTATGACAGCCGCAATAGAGCGCAAAGACAGAACTCTGATCGTGAGGTAGAAACAAAATATTGACATGCATGGAAGCACAGTTAATAAGTATACAGTGCAGTGGTCTCCCCAAAAGAAAAGAAATTAACTGATGATGGCCCATATGGCCGAAACATGTCATAAACTGGAAGGAATATGTGACTAAAGACATTTTAGAAAATTGGATAATCACTTTTAATGTATAGAATATGCTTTTAATGTCCTATTGACATGTAATGATTTTAACACCATCAGAAAGTATTGAAATACATTTTTAGTGTGAAACATATTCCTGATGTCTTTTAAATTGTCGCATTATTGACAGATACTTTGATAATAAGGATCATGCCTCAGTGCAACGGGATGCTTAAATGTAATATTTGGCTTTCAAGTTTAAGCCTGTTTAAAGTGCAGTTATGGTACAGATTCTTCACCTTTCTCTTCCAGGTCAGTTTGCAGTCACAGCCAAGTTCTCTTTTTAGTGTAGATTACCAAACATAGTGGTTGAGTGGATATTACACTTGCTTCATGTTTGGACAGTCCCGGCTTCATTCCTTCGTATAAAGACTTGCTGTCCTGACAGATATTTTATGGTTTTCCATAGTGTCTCCTGGAAAATGCCTGTCATTCCAGGTCAACCTTCAGTTCAATGATACTTGTATGTAACTTATGAGTTTGAGAAAGCGTTCAGTAAGCTAAGAAACAAGAAACAAACAGCCTGGCTAGGTTAGTTTAAGTTAGGCATGATTTTATGTGATTGGGTGAAGCTGGGTTATCTTCAGTTAGTTTATACAGACCTGTACCATTATCTGCATAGGCAGAGTTGAAAAAGAGAGTTAGGTGACATGAAACTGTAGGTTAAGTTTGGTTAGGTTAATATAAAATGTTATCAACTCTGTCCAGTGTGATTGATAAATGTTTTTTCCTTCTTAATCTTGAAAAATGAAAAAAAAAAAATTATCAATCACACTGGGTGGAGTTGATAACCTATTATAATATTGCTAGTGTGCTGGACCAGGATAAACCAAGTCAAATTGGTTAGGTTATGTTTGAAAACTGCAGAATTTTATTAATGTCACTCGCCTTCTTCCTTCTTGACCCTTTCATTGTCTCAATTCCTTGATCCATCTGTTTGTGTACAGACTCCAACTGCATCCAACAGTTGTCACACTTCAGTTATACTAAGCAGTACTGGCCCATACAGATCATTCTAATATGCCAGTCATGATGTGGAAAGATTGTAAGATTTTAAAAGTACTGCATCAGTATTACAATAATGGAAAGTATTGACTTGTATGATTATAATTAACTGTAAGAGAAATGTACATTATGTAATCAACGTGGAAAATTATGTGTTACAGTATATTCGAGATGCTTATCATGAAGATCCAGAAATGTATTCCAATGAAATTCACACTCTTGAGGGTTTACGTGTGGCAGCTACATGTGCAGTGCGTGACGTTACAGGGTGCTCAGCACTGAAGCGTTACTATTGTCAGCTTCATTTCTTGCAGAGCAGATTTCCAATGGGCAAGGATGGAGCTGCTGCAGTTCCTTTTACGTGGTAATTTTTCTTTCAGTATCCTATGAGACAATATTTATAGTATGTTATAGCCAAAATTACTGTAATTATGACTAATTTGTGCTGATCATGGTAGCTGCGCAGTGTAAGGGTGACCACACACCACCTGCATCAAGACAAGCATGAAGACATGAGACAGAAGATGCAGTCTTGCTTCATTCATAATTTGTCAGAATGAAGCTGACATCAGCATCATGACTCAGACTGGTGTGTGGCGGTTTTCATGATCTCATTTGTTCCAACTTTTCTCCTTTCTTTGCGTCATGCCGCAGATATCGTGTCTTGACTGTTACATGTCTTGATACATGCCGGTGTGCAGCCTACGTTAGGCATGAAATGTATTCTTGCACTCGAATGCTGGGATCGTGGGTTCAGATCCCTCTCAAGGTACAGATGTCTGTGTGTGTGTTTATTTTGTGTTTCTGTTGTCCTGTGTGTAGGTAGCGGATTTGCGATGGGCCGATCCCCCATCCAAGTAGTCCTACCGACTGTGTAAAAAAGATTACAAAACTGAAGAAGAGGCCAAGGTCCAACAAAGGGCTGTAGACCCATTGATGAATGAATGAATGAATGAATATCTAATTTGTAAACCAACTGTGATGGGTTGCAGTGTGGCAGTGAGCATTTTCTTCATATGTGGAAGGTCCTATATTTGAATCTGAGTCATGGGAATTTTTTTTCTTCAGTTCCTCAGGGCAGTGGTTCTTTCCCAGATGATTAAACAGTAGTGGGTTCACCTGTCTTACATTGTACAGTAAAAATTATAGTTAACAAATTTAATTGTTACTAATGTGTCTATACATGTGCATTTATTTTTTAATAATTAATACCTTCATGTAGTATTAAAGTTATCGTAATCATAATGACCACCCTTATTCATTGTTCACAATTAAAATTTATTTCAAGAGGGTATATGAAATAATTTAAGTCTTCTGATATAGGCATCTTCCAAAAATCTGGTATTTGTAATGCAGCTCCACCCGTACCCCCATATGTGACTAAACATGTTTATTTATTATACAGTAATTAACACTTACTTGTAATATTAAAATCACTGTAATCATCATAATCACCCTTCAGCTTTTACTGTTGAAATGTATGCAGTATGAACTAATTTAAATTGTCTGATATAGCCATCTTTAAAAAATCTCTGTACTCCCCCCCACCCCCTCATTTGTGACAGCCTCAAAGTTCTCTGTCCTCTTCTTTGATACTTCTCTGGTCACAGCAATAAGTGCCTCAAATGAGAGAAGGAAGATGCAATAATGGAGAAATGTAAACACAAACCATGTAGGTGTGAGAAGGAAATGGAAAATTGAAAAAGTCTCTGACCATGGAATATTAATTTTTCTATATGATGTAAAATATATATAGAGTGCTTACTAGAATTTGTGGAGCTTCATAAATTAAGTTATGGAATGGCAGTAGTCCACAGACCTCCAGTTTACATATTCAGAATTTTGTAGTATTGTAACTGATTTTCAGAACTAGTCAACTGATCATGCTTTTGCTGTTGTTCATCTACATCAGACAAAATGTGCTTGTTCCAGTATTATTCACAGATGCTCACACATTCTTAGTTCCCTCTTACTACACTTATCATTGTTAGATACAGTTTAATTATATTTTATTTATTTACTAGTACTTTATGCAGTTATCAGCAAAGTTGCTTTAGTTTGCTTTATATGATTATATATTTAGTAGTAATATTATATATGTTACATGAGCAGCATGATGCGATTTGCAGTCAGAAGGAATTTCTGCAGCTGTACAATACAAATAAGTTATTGTAATTTCACAGGCGTGACACTTATGCGAATATGGCATGTACTGTGGCAGACATACGTTTTGAAATGGTGTCTATCCTCTACAATATTGGAGCATTGCATTCACAGCTGGGTGCTTCAGACAGCAGAGTAACTGCAGATGGCATGAAACTTTCCTGTACACATTTCCAGTGTGCTGCTTGGGCGTTTCAGGTATTCTTTTATGTTGGTTATTATTTTTATGAAGAAATGTTGGTGTCATTATAACCATTGCATATATCTAAACAAGACAGGAAGTTTAATCAGTTTCAAGTTCATCAGTTTATATTTAATATGTATATCTGTAAGATGTCTTTTTTCCATCAGAATCTTTGTTGAATTTTGAAGTGGGAGTATGATTCCTCTTCACTACAGAAGTGAAAAGACTTGAATTAGGATTAAATTTGGATGAAAAGACTAAGTTGGAAAATAATTCTCCCTTATAACCATGAGATAATCATATTCTCACACACATGCACATGCATATAGTTTTAGTATTTGTAATTGATCGATTTTAATAACTTCAGTGCTATTGTTGGACAAAGTGCAGTGTACAAAATATCTGTACAAATCCATTGATTTTATTGTAAAACTCTGAATTTTGATCATGATTTCTTTATTGAAAGTCATCACAACACAACAATTAAAAATATATGTTTGTAGTTTCAAGTAGTACTTTACTACATGTTTCAGCTTTCAAGAAACCATCATCAGGTAAATACACTTAAAAATTTCTTTAGCTATCGAATTGTGTCCTAATTACATGATATAGTATTAGATTTTTCAAATAGTATACAATAAAATAAAATTACAATGAAAGTAAACGTCTTAAAATTAACTAGTTACATAATTAAAATACAGTTAAGAATTGTACATATAATTATATTTCAAAGTAGGTAGCTGCAATCGTAATAATATGGTGCTTATGCGGACATGCTGTATGCACAGATGTTATGGTGCTCGGAGGTCCATTGCTATATTGTACGTTCTTATTTAATTTTGATTTCTATTTGCCATGCGCCTCCATTTATGTGTATGTGTCCAATCTGATGAAAAGATGGATTACAACAAAGAAATATATAATACACAACAGGATGCATTCACTAAAAATTGATCATAATTGATGAAGCGTCTTGTGTGACATCATGTTTCTATTGTTCTGAAGCTTGAGAGGGATCTTCCAGGATTATTCAGAGTCCTATATACAGATTCTGTGGCAATAATAAGCAGCAACTCTCCCACTTGTCCCTCTCTTCTAACGGTATGTCTTATTACCACCTTGAGGGTTTGTCCCAAATTGTCACCATTTCACAACCCTCTTCCTTGAAGAAACAATGTTTGTACCACCTTACAATTCTTTTTTCTCTAGAATTTCTGTCTCATATCTTCTTTTCTCTTTCCCTAGGTATTTATATGACTTTGACCATCATCATTAAGTAATTTTCTCGGCTCCTTTATTTTCATTATTTAATTTATTCGTGTGGGAGTGAGACAGCCTTTTTGTACTTATGCCACTAGTTGTCCTATTGTACCAGCCTCATATGACAGAGGAGTGAATATAACATTGGTAGAATAATAACTAGGGCCCAGATCTTTATGCACTAAAGACACTTAAAATATGTGCTAAGAAGTGGGAAAATATGCACCAAAATAAAACAATATGCACTTAAGAAACAGGTCACTTTATTCAGACTCGCCTATTTACATGTATCATTCGCTGCAGAAAGTAGCATTACAATAGGCAACTAGAAGTCTTTCAGTGTTTTCTGGAGACAGACTGCATCTGTTGTCTGTCAAAATGAGTTTTTAGGCTGATAATGAGCTTTCTACATCAACTGACGTGATTGGACAGTATTTATACACTGGCGCTGAAGGTTCGGAACATTCATGTGGCTAAGATACCCTAATTCCACTCAAGTACTGACTAACTGACTGAATCTTTTTTAGTCCTGGGTTCGAATTCAACACCATTTCTAACTTGCATTTAATCTTCTCTCCAATTTCGCCTGGAGCAGAAGTCAGTGAACAAGTTGCTTTCTGAACGAGTTCAAGTGAGTTGTGAAGGAGTGCACCACAAGACTCTAAGCTCTCAGTGGCTTTTGAAACTGTAGAAAAATGTGCATGGATAAAATTCACATCTTGATAAACAGTATCACCTCAAAACACCACTTTTGATTCACAGACACATGCATACTCATCTTCAAGTTTTGTAACCATTTCTTTTACTTGATTGAAATTCTCCTGATAAAATGAAACTGCGGATAACCATGTCCCCCACCTAGTTAGGACAGGTTCACGTGGCAGAGGAACCTGAGTTAGGCAATCTTTGTAGAGCTGGACACGAAGCTGGTGCTTTCAGAAACAGTTTTTTCCCAATTGCAATGAAATTGTTAACAGCTGGAAACTGTCCATGTATTTTTCCTGCCATATGGTGTAATCCGTGTGCTAAACAGGTTACATATATAAGATTTGGATAAAATACTTGTAAGGCCTTTGCTGCTTTCAACATGTAGGAAGCTCCATCTGTGAGTAATACAAGCACCTTAAACAATTATTCTCAATTTCAGATGGCCATAATAGTAGCAAAGAATCATTGACAGTACACGATGACACCATCTGTTGAATAGTCACTGTTACCCGACACCCACCGATTTTGTAAATATCTACGGCTGCACTTTTCTTTAGGCATTTTCAGTACATAAACACTTTTTTGATGCAGTCTGTTAAAGAAAAAATTAACGCATTAACTGAAGAAACTTCTCTCAAGACCAACCCTCTTATGCTACTGTCTGCTGTTATGGTCAAAGGAATGCAGGAAAATCCTACACCCTCCCTTTCCAAATAGCTAAGCTGCCTACTTGCATTGTAAGTGGTAAAAATGCTGTTATTCAGAGAGTTGAGAATAGCAGCTGGCAAGGGATGTCCAAAACATAGGAAAAACCGATTTTGTTAGAGAATATTGAAATTATCCTTAATTTCAAACACAGATGCAGAAATATGCTCTTACATTTAGAATATGCAATAACAACCAAAAACCCTCAAAATATGCATTCGCATATGCACATATGCATTTTAAAAAAATCTTGGCCCTAATAATAACTGGCAGAGAAAATTGAAGTACTGAGAGGAAATTTGTCACTGTGTCCACTATAAATCCCATATGAACAGCACTGAAATTGAACCCAGGCCTCCTTGGTGGAAAGCTACCAACCACATGAGCCTATTTTTAACAAAATTACATTTTTATAATATAAATTTAACAGTTGAAATTATATGCAAACTGAACGAAAAATTTATTTATAAATCACTGATTCGGTTCCATATCAGTAAACAACCCAATAATGAGTGATATATTCATATAATGATTTCCTCATGATGACCCAACAGAGTCAAAACATGTAGCCGCACACAGTAAATAAATACTAATACTGTAGTAGTGATTAGTTTATTATAGAATTGTTGTGTTGACTGATACATTAAGAATACCACACATGAGTTGTGTCATGGTTTCTACTACTCTGTTCCTTGGTCTCTGTTATGTCATATACTGTTCTTGTCACTTTCTTTCAAACACCCTCAGTCTCTAAGCTACAAGTCTTATAGAGTGGTGAAAGTTTACGTTGTGGTCTTTGGGATTACAGCAACAACATGTCCACATGATGTCACAACTTAGAAGCTCACAATCTAGTTCCTCAGTCTGTGTTTTCATCTTCACTGACTGACTCACTCACTCATTCATGGAGCTGAGCCTGTCTTGAGAAGACACCAATTGCACAGCCACTCCAGAGCTTCCCAGCATTTTATGGAACCCAAAGGTTCATTACCGTGTTCACAAGAGCCCTCCACTGGTCCATATCCTGAGCCACATCAATCCAATCCATACCATCCTATTGTCTAAGATCCATTTTAATATTGTCCATCCACCTACGCCTTGGTCATGCCATTGGTCTCCTTCCTGCTGGCTTTCCCACCAATTTTCTATATGCATTCCTCTTCTCCCATTCATGCTACATGCCCTTCCCATCTCATTTTCCTTGACTTGATCATTCTAATTATACTTGGTGAAGTGTACAAGTTATGAAGCTCCTTATTATGTATGTAGTTTTCTCTAACCTCTTGTCACTTCATCTCTCTTCAGTCCAAATATTCTCCTGAACACTCTGTACAATGTGTACAATGTGTGTTCTCAGTCTATGTTCCTTCCTTAACGTCAGAGACGAAGTTTCAGACCCATTCAGAACCACAGGCCAAATTGTAGTTTTGTATATTCTTATTTTAATGTTTTTAGACAACAGATGAGAAGACAAAAGGTTCTGGACCAAATGGTAGGAAGCATTGCCTGCATTCATTCTCATTTTAATTTCCTCNCACCCATTCAGAACCACAGGCCAAATTGTAGTTTTGTGTATTCTTATTTTTATGTTTTAGACAACAGATGAGAAGACAAGGTTCTGGACCGAATGGTAGGAAGCATTGCCTGCATTCATTCTCATTTTAATTTCCTCCTGAATCAGGTTTTGGTTTGTTATCCTTCCCAAATATCTGAACTGTGCCACATCTTCAGAACATTTGTTAGCTCTCTTTATGTCATGATTTTCCTCTGCATTCTGGTGATGAGACGGTAACACATACTTAGTTTTCTCTGTTTACTTCTCCTTACTAGCGTCAATTAAAGTCTGTATGTGTCTTTATGGTATTTATATTAATACCCAGCAGAATTCACGTCATCAGCATAGACCAACAGCTGATGTGTCCAATTTCATTTTAGTCCCACCTGGTTTTCCTGGACTTTGTTAATAGCATATTCTAAAGTAGAGTTGAAGCAGTGGCAATAAAGCATCTCCTTGTTTTAGACCATTCAGGATAGGGAAATTATCAGACAAATGCTTTCCTATATAGACATTACTTTATGTTTCATTCAAACACATTTTAATTAGCCTAACTAGTTTCATGGGTACTCTATGAGAATATCGTACAGTACTTCCCTCCTAACTAAATCATAGGTTTTCTCCAGAGTGTTTAAATACGAATTATTTAATATTTATGCCTGCATCTTTTCTCTTCTTCCAGCACTTGAAAGACACATTTCCACAGCCTGCAGGTGTTGATTTAGCCCCAGATGTTATGCAGTTTATGTATCATCTTAGTTTGGCTCAAGCACAAGAGTGCATTTTGGAGAAAAGCATGATGGATAACAGGAAGGCAACAATCATTGGTGAGTTTCACTTTTAAATGTTAATGTTGCATTACGTACAGCCAGTTCTTAATACTAGGTCTAGTGTATTTATATTTTAACCAGACACTGAAGAACGTCCAAAGGAAGTTTTGTGTGTGTGTGTGTGTGTGTGTGCGCGTGCGTGCGTGTGTGCGTGCAAGGCTATTGTCATAAACCTCTAGAACTACATTAATTATTTTGATTCTCTTTGAATCGCCATTAAAGTTTGTTATTTTCTTCCAGCCAAGGTTGCTGTTCAGATTGTAGATTACTATAATCTGGCACTCAACACACTAGACCAAGGTGGCAGTGAAGATTGTTCACTCCCTGAAACTTTAGGCACCAAGATTTATAAGGTAAGTTCTCATATAGTAGCACAAAAATAGGAGTTATACAATTAATTATCATAGCACAGAATTCTCTAACTTATCTCAGTTTTGTATAATAGCATTACATTTTCAAAGAACCAGTATTGTGTATTATCAGGTGAGGCAATATACTTGGCTACCAAAGATAAAATTTAATAATTGTCTCCAACAAACTTGATAATGTTCTGAGGACTGAATGCACATGTTTGACCAGAAAACTTACTTCTGAATATTTATTTTAGGTGAGTGAAAAAGTCAAGAATGCTGAATATAAATTTAAATTACATACAGACAGGATGGTATTTGTATATTGACAAGTGACCCAAGTAACTTTAAAATTTCCTGCCTTGTCCCTCATGTTAAGTTGTGACAGGTTCCTGATTTTCTAAAGTTTCTGAAGACAAAATTTTGGATTGTACCTTGAAGTGTATCACAGCGTCCTCCTTCCAAATCTTTACCTGTTTGCCATTCATAACTCTATTCCCATGTTTGTTGATATTACAACATATCTGCAGTTGAAAGAGCATTTCTGAATAGCTGTATCAAGAGTTATCTCACATTGTGAACTCCTTTGGAAATGGTGAATTTGTGAGGAGCTGTAGTAGTGTAGCTGGTATATCAACTGGCAATGGGCTGGACAACTGAGGGGTCAGAATTTGAGTCCCAGTAGGGTCAAGAATTTTCTCTTCTCCAAATTTTCCAGACCGGCTCTGGGGTCCACCCAACCTCCTATGCAGTGGGTACCGGGGACTTTTTCCCCAGGGGTGAAGCGGCAGGGGCATGAAGCTGACCACTCTCCTCCAGCTAGTGCTGAGGCCAAGAAAATGTGGATCTGTGCATCCATTCCCCCATACATCTTCATGGCATAGTGCTTAATTCATTGAGCACAGGAACAACTTTACCTTTTTACCTTACTGTGGTGAATTTGTGAGATTTGCTGAGAAGTGAAGAAGAAGATTGTTTTTCAAAGATGTGTAATTCTGCAAAGGAAATGCAGGTGTGAGAATGAACATAGCAGGTAGACCCAGCTACTAAGTTTGATGATCTCTGCCATCAGAGGGCTTTGCTTTCCAGTTGACTTGTGCTGTCTTTGCCCACTTCCTAGCACCGTCTTTTCATTAAACATAGAATGATGTAGCAGCTTATGAGGTTTATACTCAGACCTTTTACGCTCTCCATGTTTAAGACCAGTTACTTGCTTGTTGTGGAATACTTCAAGGTATTATTGGGACATTTGTCTGGAGAAACTAAAGGAAACCACAAAAATCCTTAAATGGATTTGAGCCAAGTACCTTTCAAATATAAATCTATAACATTATTACTACACAACCTGCCCAGTATGCACAGAGTGATTGTTCAGGATTATCAGTAGAGCCACTTATGGAACCTGAAAATATGAATACCTTTGTATGGATCTGTAGGCATAGCTAATTCGAATGCATGCCACAGTTGTGTGCTGAGTTTACAAGTACCATATTTTACAGTCAGCGTATAGTTGCTGCAAATGTATCTTGGTGAGTAAATGAACCTTGTAATGTGTGCATCATCTTGAACGTTGACACTTTGACCTTTGGTTTTATGAACTGAGAGACTTTTGTCATAAAGATATGTATTGTTCTTTCAGGCAGAGTATGTGTTCTGCTAAATACCATGTTGTGTGAGTTGCAGTGTTGATGCTGATCACTGTGTAGATGTGCATACTGTGTGTGTAGAGTAAGTGATTACTAGTGACAAAAGAGACTGAATCTCTTGGTGTGATTGACTAGTGTATTACTGTATGTGTCACTTTCATAAATTATGTGTGATGCTGGGGACCGCCTCTGTGGTCTAGTGGTCAGAGTTCCTGGCTACAGATCCAGAGGTCCCGGGTTCCATTCCTGGCACTACCAGATTTTCTGAGAAGTAGTGGGTCTGGAATGGGGTCCACTCCACCTCATGAGGATAATTGAGGGGCTGTTTCAAGGAAATTGCTGCTCCAGTCTAGGAAACTGAGATTAACAGGCGTGAGGATCTGTTGCGCTGCGTTGCGCTGACCCTCTGTCCACAAAAGTTGGCGCTAACTTCACTGACATGAGGCAGTTGCTAGGTCGGTATAGTTTGCTTGCGGACTACAGGCCATGGAGTTTTTTTTTAATGCTGGGATAGATCAGTTGGTATAGTGACTAGGCTATGGGCTGGATGACTGGGGTTTGAGTCCCAGCAGGGACAAGAGATTTTTCTCTTCTCCATACTGTGTAGACTGTCTCTGGGGCCCACACAGCATCCTATCCAGTGAATACCAGGGATCTGACCTCTGGGGTAAAACTGCAGGGGCATGAAGCTGACCACTCACCTTCATCTAGTGCCATGGATAGGAATGCTGGAGCTATACCTCCACTGCTCAGTATCCCTTCATGGCATAATGCTTAATTATACATATAAGTACAGGGATAATTTTATGTTTACCTTTACTGGGTAGAACATAATATGTTCACTTTACTTTTGAAATTATATTGATATATGCTTTGTATTTTATGCTTTAAAATTAATTACTGTGTTCTCTTCATTATGTTTGACAGAAGTGGAAGAGGTATGTGAAGTTCAAAATAGCATATCACTCATGCGTGTCACTTCTGTACCAAGGACAGCAGGCAGAAGAACAACAGAAAATGGGTGAGAGGGTGGCATATTATCAGGCAGCATCAGAGAAACTGGAAGAGGCAATGAAATTGTCAAAAGGAATGGATAACATTGAGGTACCTGAAAATCAGCCTTATTTATAACTAAAGTGAGATGTTCTGTAATTTATATGTATCACAGTTTTTATTTGTTACTTGCACAAGGTATGTGAAAATAGATGTGTAATAGTGAGGTCATGTTTTTCTGACTGCAACATTGTAAGCTGTTAGGTGGATTTCATTGTGTATATATATTCATCCAGTTTGATGCTCACTATATATGGAGTTAAAATTATGCAGTTATATTTCTCAAATTTGCTGATTGTAGAAGAAATTAGTACATGACATAAAATATAATCCCATTAAGACATGCAACTTTTGTTTGAAACATTTTTGTATCTGGACAGTAATTAATGAAATATTACTTTTAGCTGTCAGAGAATGAAAAATACAGGTGATAATAGGATACTTTGCCATAGCTAAGGTGGGTTAGACCAGTGTTCTGCAACCTTTTTCTACTCACGGCGAAGTATTCGTGACTCAACACGGCACACCAAAATGTTATTCCCCTCAAAAACGCATTATATCAGACAATTAATATAAATATGTAACGTGATCAACTTCTTACTATAATATTATTATATTTTTATTTTATTATCATTAAACAGAAATTGACTCGTGCGTTTATTAACAATTAATGAACTGCAATTCACTGTAGAGTGTAGAAAATACACTTCAATTACTATTAAAGTAAATACAATAATTCTACTCATACCTTCAGTGTGATACTTGCGCCTGCGTAGCTGCACACTGGTGACTGATCCGTGGTGGAATCGTTGACAGCGCAAGTCTCATTTCTTCATCGATGTATTTGAGCCGCTCCCTCTTTGATGTCTTAATTTCAGTTAATGTCGAGAAGCCCAGTTCGCACAAATATGTAGTTGAAAATGGCAATAACACATTAACTTCCATCTTGGAGATAGCCGGGTATCCACTCCTTATTGCCAACCATCATGTATCCAAAGGCACTTCGAGAAGTTTTAGTTTCAATGTTCTGTCTGCTTTTAAATTTGCGAGTTCCTCTTGCATATTAATCAGAAGATGTTCTGAATTCACAACAAATGGATCATGAACCCAGTCAAAATCTTGTACACTCTCTCCAAAATACTTACTGAATTTCTGCTGCAGCATTTCTAAATGTTCTTTAATTGTGTCCATCACCACTTTATTGCCGTCAGCAAGTGGCCATACAGTCGGGGACATCTCAAACGACCCATCTGTAATTCTCTAACTAGCACCCAAAATTTGCGAACTACTTCAGAGCACGGCTGTGATAGAACTGAAACAGTTGTAAAACGCGGGATCTCTACTCTTCAAATGGAAGAAGTGACACTATACCGACTTATTTTTTAAATATTTATAATTTTAAATGAAGTCCAACAATCGGTGGGTGCATCGTTACAGGAAGAAAGTCATAAAGTTGAAGAAGCTCTAATTTCTAACAAACACGGACAAATACCAAAACAGCGTTATAAAAGACAGGAAAACCCATGCTAATCCCTGCAGTTTTAGGGAAAAGCATGTACACAGAACATGCAGCAAACATATCAAAGAAGCTGCATAGATGCGAGAAAAATAAAAATAAATCAATAATGAAAACTATGATTTAACAACAACTGTGATTAAATAATTTACATTTAATTTCTTAGAATACAACATTACTGTACATAAAAAATCATAGCATGTAATAAAGAATAAACAAGCATCATCTTATTTAATCAGTGCAGTGGCTGAGAATAAAATACAAGCATATGAAACACGGTAATTGGGATAAAATAAAACGAATAAAATTCAACAGTTAATTTCTTACAATAGGTAAAAGTTTGCGTCACACCTTTCACCTTGTGACAGCACACCAGTGTGCCACGGCACACCGGTGCGGAACACTGGGTTAGACTCTGTCGTCTCAATATGGAAGCCCAGATTTAATCCCAGGTGACTTCATATTAGATTCATGGTGGATGAAATGACATGAACAGGTATTTTTCCTGAGTTTTTCCCTGCCCCCTGCTAAATACCATCCTACCATTGCCCCATACACATCCATCACTGTCTCCTCAGGTGTGCAACAGTCCTGACTAGGCAGCACATTATCATTTCACACGTTCTGAAGTTTCCTGCTTCATCTTGACCCCTCACTTGGCTGATTTCAGGGTAAGGAAGTTTTTTAATAGGAGATATGCAGCAAGAGAACTCTTCGTAACTTTGGTTTATATTGATTCTCTCATTTTGTGCCTTTCCTTCAGGCTATAAATGAATCACTTACCTTCACAATGGATGTTGTGGAAGGAAAGAAGAAGGCAGCAAAAAATGAAAATGAGTTTATCTACCATGAAGAGGTGCCAGATAAAGACTCACTTCCTGATGTAAAAGGAGCGTCTTTAGTGAAAGGGATTCCTTTCAATGTGAATGATCCAGAGGTGTCAGGTCCAGACATTTTTGCTCGTCTAGTTCCTATGAAGGCACATGAAGCTTCTTCACTCTATAGGTGAGATTTTTTTCTAGTAAAGATGTACACAAACTCCTCGGTTTACAAAGATACTATATTCTAGGACATAACACTGTGCAGTTCATTGTAAGTATACCAGTGTGTCAGAGGAGCATATTGCCTCCATCTTCAGTGTCAGAGATCAAGCTAAACAAGATACCAGCATGAAAGCAGGTGGCAAACAGAGCAAGTTTTCTCGCTAGTATCTTGCACGGCTTATTCTTTGACCCTGAAGATGGAGCTGTGTGTTCCTCTGATACTTCAGTTGACTTTCAACAGAATACATGGTGTTATATTCCAGACGATAGTACTCTTCATAACCACTGGTGTGAGAACCGCAAAACCTATATCCTCAATTTAAAAATCTTCAGTTAATGAACCGAACGTGCAATTCACGTGAAAAATTAATACTATATTTTGGTGTTCTCTGCCTTCTTGCTTTGACATTTCAACTTATATGTTAGTTGTCCAACAACCAAGCCCCTCCAACCATTTCTTGTCTCTCTAACGTTCCTTCTCTTCAGTTTTGTCCCATGTTCTTCCTTCTGACATCTTTCCTAATCTGTTGGGCCCATCCAGATCTTGAGCATTTTCTCGTTATTTCCATCGTCAGAATTTTCTTTTGGATTCTTTCTTTGTATGTTTTTAAAATGTGCCCATGCCATCTTATTTTCTGATTTATTAATCAATCTTCCATTGTTCTGTTTTTAAATACACCCAAACATTTATTTTTGTACCACATAAAGATCTTATGCTATAAAGTATACTAATGTCTTCAGCTATCCATTCCCATGTTTCTGCTTCATATATTGAAACATTTCTAAATGTCATTTCTAAATGAATTATTTTTCTTGTCTGGATGTTCCCATATCTTTAGTATATCTCAGAGTAAATGGTAAAGTTTTCCTTTAATTTTGTGCTTTCTGTAATTTCTTTGTAACTCTTCCATTTAGCACAGTTTTACCTATGAGCTGGATGGCTTGCATTCAGTTCCTTGCAGGGGCAAGAGATTTCTGTCTTATCTGCAGTGTCCAGACCAGCTTTGGGGCCTACCCAGCCTCCTATCCAGTGGGTACTAGGGGCTCTTTCCTTGGCGGGGGAGTAAAGCAGTTGGAACATTATGGTGACCACTGAACACCTATTGCCAAGGTCAAGAATGGTGGAGCCGTACATTCACACCCTCATATGTCTTTGTAGTCTGGTACTTAATTAATTAAGCACAGGAACAGCTTTAGTTTAATACTTGGTGGATTATATGTCGATCCTACATAATTTTGTTATAGATTACTGTGTTTGATGTGACACCATGTATTCTGGTGGAAGTTCATCAGTATTTCAGAGGAAGATGGAGGTAACATGCTCTTTTGAAATGTCTATAAACTTCTATGAGAATAACAGTCTATCACATCCCAGAAGACAGGAATCCTCATAGCTCTTGCTGTCAGAACTTCAGATCTCACAGGTTTATTGTTCTTTTCATGATGGTATTAACATTTATGTTGCAGTGAAGAGAAAGCCAAGCTGCTGCGGAGAGTTGGTGGTATGATAGATGAGAAGGACCAGGAATTGGTAACATTTATGACCTCCCTTCAGCTTGATCATCTAAATATTTACTCAGAGCCAAACAGGCTGCCACAGGTAATCCCATAAACTAAACCATGATTCCAGGAATTGTTAAAGTATACTGAGTTTAAAAATGCAATTTTGCATACTGGTACCTCTTTTGGTCTTAACGTTCTCTTTAGCGGCTGTAAATGTATTGTTAAGACCACACTTTCCTTTGCAGGAGTTAGTTGACAGATGTGCAGCTCTTAGTGCCAAGCCAAATACCATTCAGAATCTTGTGGATTCTATGAACAAACTAGCAGACACATATCATGATGTTGAGGGCATGCTGCAAGACATTAAAGAATTAATTCAGGTATATTCAGTTTGTTTATCTGTTGTATGTAAAAATATAACTTTTCTGCCCTTTCTATCACAGACCTCACAGAAAATAGCCAACAATACACAGTTTATTTCATATTCTTGCCAGTATGTGCAGTATCCATGGTTGTTGAAGTGGCATGCAGGTATTGCAGTAAGGCTTTTGTGTATGATTTGAATTCTCATCCCTAATTTTTTAATTACATGGGAAAAATTGCAGTTTCCTCATGTGAGTATTATTCCTTTTTTAATGCATTAACTACTTTGTATTGTGACACCGAGAAGGAAAGCAACAGTACCCAGCTGAAGAAATGGCATGTTATATTATTAAGTTCTTTTGTCTCCCCATTTCTTTTTGTTCTGTCTGACTAATATTTGCCTTGATTATGGATTATAAATTCTGCTACTAAAGGGAAAGTTGTCCCTGTGCTTAACTAATTAAGCACTGTGCCCTGAAGATGCATAGGGGAGTGGATATACAGATCCACACTTTCTTAACCTTGGCATTGTTTTGGAGGTGAGTGGTCAGCTTCACACCCTGGCTGCTTTACCCCCAGGGAAAGAGCTGACTGACCCATTGGTTAGAGGCTAGGGCTGGGTGGGTCCCAGAGCCTTTTTGGACAACATGGATAACAGAAAATTCTTGATTCTACCGGGACTCAAACTTCAACCTTTCAGTCATCCAGCCCATGGCAGTAGCTATACCATCTGCGCTATTCCAGCTCCCAAATTCTGCCACCAAACTAAGAAAATGCATTTCATGCACTGTAATCTGTATTTTAAAATTTTCTGTTATTTTCTGGATTTTTGAACTTATGAATCGCTTTGTAATTTAAAAAACATTTTACCATTTTGAGGAATTAATGTAGACTTTTCCATTACAAAACTAGAGGATGGAGTTAAATTACTTCCCAATTACTTACTTATGTTACCAGATGACTTTGGCTGTGGATATACTTTTATGGTTTGATTAAAGACAATGTCGTTAACTCATACTATAGCATACATAGTATGAAAGTTAATAAATAACTGGATAGGGCATGGAGGAAAGTGTTAATCGAAGAACAGTCTTGGCATTTGCCTGGAGAGACTGAGAAAGACCACAAAAATCCTTGATCAGGGTAGTCAGTGTCCCAGCTGAGATTTGAATTGGGCTCCTGAATACAAGTCAGAAGCATTAGGCAACATGCTTGATTTGATCATACATTTGGTATGAAAAAGTCAATGGTAACATATTTTAAAGAAATCTTAAATGATCAATTTTTATGAAACTTAGTGTGAATATTATGCCATTGGAGACCATTCTGTCTTCATAATTTTTTAACTCCCTGTCTACAACAGTGCATGATGATTTTGAGAATTTGTGAGGTGAAAACACTACTAGCCTGTCAATGAAGAGTTGTAGTTTATTAATGAAAGATAAATGTAAAGTTGCCCTAGCACCTAATTAAGTACCCTGTCATGAAGACATATAAGGAAGTGCAGATATAGCTCCAGCCATTCTTAACCTCGGGACTGGATGCAAGTGAGTGGTCAGCATGACATCACACCCCACAGAAGGAGTCCCTGGTAATGGGTAGGAAGCTGGGTGAGTACCAGAGCCAGTCTGGATGCTGTGGAGAAAACAGAATTCTCTGCTCCATATTCATTAATTCAGAGATCAGTTATGTTTTCAACTTCATATGTTTTATAGCAGTGCTGTCCAACGTTCTTATGTACTTGGGCACAATTCACTGATGCCTGTGGAGGTGCGGGTGCCACCACACACTACTACTACTACTACTACTACTAC